ATTAACAGACATCAAAGCTGGATCAACGGACATGTGCATCTGTTGGTTTTCTGGTCTCCGAAGACATTGATCACTAACGGACTCTGCTCTGATGTGACCCTGTCATCTGTTGGTTTTCTGGTCTCCGAATTAACGGACATCAAAGCTTGATCACTAACGGACTCTGCTCTGATGTGACCCTGTCATCTGTTGGTTTTCTGGTCTCCGAATTAACGGACATCAAAGCTTGAACACTAACGGGCATTGCTCTGATGTGACCCTGTCATCTGTTGGTTTTCTGGTCTCCGAAGTAACAGACATCAAAGCTTGATCACTAACGGACTCTGCTCTGATGTGACCCTGTCATCTGTTGGTTTTCTGGTCTCCGAATTAACGGACATCAAAGCTTGAACACTAACGGGCATTGCTCTGATGTGACCCTGTCATCTGTTGGTTTTTTGTCTTTTTACTTTTTAAGTTTTACTTTGTGAATGGTCTGTGATAATATGAGTGTTTACTGTTATGGTTAAACTGTTGAAATAAAATCTTAAGGCTTTCCAATAAAGTATTAATATTCTTGATGGAAAAGAAAACATTAACATGATACACATAAAATAAAAACGTTTTAAAGAATTTAATGTCAGTTAAGAAAGTAACCATTATATCTGTGATGCATCTTGGTGGACTTTTTATAAAGACTTTATATGACTGTGAAAGTAAACTTGTTTTGTTTGTTTCTTTGGGGTTTACCACCTCATTCTCACTTGAAACAGAGGTGAGAGGTGAATTTTCACGGGAAAGAAATTGCTGCTGCCGGGATTCAAACCCACCCGGCCCTCTGCACCCTTCTGGTCGTGGAGCCTATGTTTCTACCAACTGAGCTAACCCTACATGGCGAGTGTTTTTATTTTTATTTCATTAATTCTGCTCCATAGAAAACTATCACACCACTGGGCTAATATATATACATTGTACATAATTTTAGGTTATTAAATTCCCTAACGACCGGTATATTTCTTTATTTAATTATTGCACTGCTATCACATATAAACTTAGTTTAAAAAGTTAAAAACCGTCTCAGAAATACTCGTCTGAAAAACGGATCGTAGTAATGTGGCGGTTTACTAGGTTCTGGCAATATGCGTCAAATGAAAAAGACAGTTTTTACTCCTTCAACAACGGAGAGGGCTGTAATTCATAGATACAAATTTAGTATTTTAAATTCCCTTTTGATTGGGGTATATATTGTCTTTGAATAAATGAAGTGATTTGCCATATTAACCTTATTTGAAAAGGAAAACCTCATAAATATTCGACTGAAAACGGGTCGTAGATGGTATATATCCCCAAATTTTTCCGCTGACTGGGGGAAATATGGCCACTAATTTCAACTGTATCATCGTCTCTTGTTTGGAAGGACGCTCGTTGAAAGTATGACGAAACCGCTCGTTATAATTTTTTTTTCTTCAACGATACGTTAGAAGTATAATTAAGTCCGATATCATCGGGAATGACGTTCAATGCTGACGACATTTTGTTTGTCGGAGATGGTGAGAGTAGCCTCCCTTGATTTTCGGTAGGTGTGGTTATGTTTGCGTTGTCGATCGGCCAAATCGTTTCAAGTAATGTCAAACCGTGTGTATTGGCGGATGACTGAAATCTCTTCTCCACATGGCTGTTATAACCAGGGTCATGATTTAAAATCCATAGAAACTTTTGAGGGGAAAAAGACTGGTTATTTATAATATTAAAAAGGATTGTGCGCGTGGACCAGGATTCCAATCTGTTTGGACACATTTTGTGTCCCAGTTGTGTATTCAACCTACTGTGAAGTTATAGAATGACAGCGATCTGACATTAAATTCTCAGTTCTAATTATAACTCGAACTGAATTAAATGGAGCGTTAAGATAGTTAGAGAATGACATGGAGAAGTGCTCTCAGTGTAATATGTATATAAAAACGTATCGTGTGATAAACAGGTGTATGATTTGATTCCGTAAGAAATGAGATTTTTAAAATTCTTTTTATTTTGAAGAAAGTGTTGTTGTCATCAAAACTACGTGGTTCAGAAGTTAACGTCATGTCATTGTTTCTTGACAATACGTTGTCTGGTTTCTGGCCCCAAAAAATTTAGAGTATAGGTCAAGATTGCATTCCTTGGTATTTGTGCTTATACATGCTTATACATGTATTTTTAAAAAAAAAAAAAAAAATATATATATATATTTATATTGTCCGCGAAAATGTCATCGGTAAAGTGTAATCGGTATCAAAGTGATGAGCAGACAATAGAATATTTTATTTATTTATTTGATATTTATTTATTTATTTGATTGAGGATACAAGTGAATGTTAAAAATTTCTTACGGAAGGGGCATTTTATGGTAAAATTCCTTCTATTTCTTATCGACCAATTTAACGAAACAAAACTTGGAATCAGAAAAATGCAGGAAGTTCTGTCAAGACGATGTGATAACACAATTATTCTATAATTTTACAAAGTAATGAAAGCCTCCATGAAATTGATGATTCCATTGTCAATCAAATCAGAATTAATCAAACATGAAGAAATATTTAAAAAATAAATGCTGTAATATATTATACAAACTGACGGAAATCTAAATATGTGAATTCAGGTTTCTGATACTGCTTGGAAACTCGAGTCATTCAATATCATATAGCCTATCTCCCTTATATTACCAGTGAAGCTTTTGATGATTCAGACGGGGGCGTTTTCTTTTCGTTTAATTATTCTATTTCAATGTGCCTTATGTAGTCAATGAATTCTACAACTTATATATGTGCACTTTTGATATAGAATAATATATAAACGCTACATTTAATCACGGACTTAGTCCGTGATTTAATACAGCGTCGCGTTAAACATGTACATATTTACCCTTACCTGCTGAAATTCCACATTATATAGATTCATGTCTTTTCATACGTTACTGTTCTAATTTGTCAATAAACAGCATATCACTGATGAATCCGAATCACATTTAACCTGAATACAAGTTCATTCTTATCTCAAGCTACACACATTTATTCCAATTGTAACCATAAAGATAAATCTTTAGGTCTTTAACCACAATTTCTTGTTCATTGTAAAATAATATGGATCAATCTACACCAGGAAATAAAAGCATTTCACTTGCAAAGGTCACTACAGTTTCCTCGTCGTAAAATATTACAGCGACATAGCTGACAGCTCCTAATGGACTGTGACTAGGCCTACATGGAACCGAGTCGAATGCGCCTATAAGGTGTTGACGTCAAAAAGCTTGTATGTATCACTAACTTCAGAGCTTCAACGCGAGTCAGACTATTGAAAAATGTAAACAAGTTGCTGCTAAACTGTAATAATTTAGAAATTGAAAGCAAGATACTCAGCTGACAGCGTTCAGTCGATGGTGTTTTGTGTAGTATAAGGTATCCACGATCTCGTTAGACCATATGCACGCAACTCAGACAGATGAGTTAGGGTGAAAATTACGTTGTCTTTTGTTTTTCGTTTTCTAATATCGATATTCTATCGTAAAGAGATCATGATATGTGCAGTTGGGCGTGATCAGTTCATATTTCACTATTGCTTTATATCTCTTCGTTGATTTTGCAACACATTCCAATGATGGGTAATTAAGAATTAAAGAAATGTCGCTGCATCTTTAATGAAACGCACTTTCTTACATTAATAATAATCCGTATTCATACGAGTATATTAATAACTGGTAATTTCATTCAAGCATATTATTTTTGCTGGCAACTGTGAATTCTTGAGATCAGGGACCTATAATACAGATTATACGTCCCTGGTGAGATTATACAATGTTTCTCACAACTTTTCATATTTCATGCTAGATATAAATTATTTTCTTTGATTATAACAAACTCGCAAAAACAATCATGTTTTTGCACGTTTTGGATCCATTGTTTATTATTGTACAAGGGGTACATGCGTTAATTATAATGGTAAAATACATGCATATTCCTAGCGTCCAGCAAGGAATCGAACCAGGTCTCTAGTGTGATGATTTTGGGCAGTCTATAATGAACTAAAGCAGGATTGGTAAGTTCAGGGACGGAGACTGTATTTAACACTGTGTACACAGAATTGTCAACCTCTTGCATTGTCAAATAATTTTTAGTCATGGTTGTCAAAGTGAAGGATAAAAAGGTGTTTTAAAGGGTTATCATGAGGCAAAAAGACCGTATAATCAATTCTTTTTATATCAAGATATTGCATCACAGTTTGACCGATATCAGATTGAGAGGTCTGACTGTGGGAGGAAATTCTAGTGCCCGGGGAAAACCCACCTGGTTGGGCAGGTGACAAAATACCTTTTCATGTCTGTTCTGGGAATCGAACCTCAGATGCCTAGGTGAAAGACGAGTGTGTTACCATCATGCATCATGTTTCCTTTCAGTTAGATTTAAACATAAACATAAACAATGTCAAAATGATGAGTAACCTTACATGTATTTTGATTTTGTTTTAGGTTTTTGGACTGGATGACCTAAATTTGAAATCGTGTTATCACTTGGGATGTCACATCATCACAATGGACATAGGTAATGACATACATTTATGTTTATTTTCTGACTAAATGCCAACTTCTCTTACCAGAAATTGACTATTATTGTATGTACATTGTACTGTGTCTTGTTTGATTTATGTTTTTCATTGAAACAGGAAATATTTACCATATGTTAAAAATTGAAACAAGCATATTATATGTCATTGTAAGCTACCAGGCTATGGGAAAATGCCCTTTTTTTGTTCCATTCATGCCAATCAATTAGAAACCATGTATCTATCTACACCAGAATGATTGTTTATGCTGTATGCATTCTGTATGTAGATATATTAGTCAGCATTTATTACTTGTATGTAAATGAGTAATGACTTAATTAAATGTCAGTATTTAAATTTTATTGATGTATGTAAGTGAATGATGACTAAATTAAGTATTTGTATAAATTCAATTAATGAAGTAATATGTCTATATATTTATCAACATGTTCATCTTTTTTCACAGGTTGGTCCACTTGGATCTGAAAGGTGCTCCCCCAAAAGTGGATTATTTTGAAAAGGTCATAATTTAAAGACTTTTTCCATAGAAAAGCTATCTAACACTGTGTAACCTGTCTAACCATTTATATGTATAACTTGAGTCTATGTTTGCAATATATTTCCCAATCAGCTGTTCAGTACTTCCTGGTTGACTTTTCTGTTCTGACATGAAATATGCCCGATTAGACAGGTTTCATTCTGTGTGTCTATCCTCATATTGTCCAATAAGACAGGTCTAGTGAATCTTTGTCCACAAGTATTAGAGTTCATTTTGAGGTGAGGTTGCTGTAAATATTATAGTTTGTTGTATCAATGAAAACAATTTAGTAATTGTGTTCCTTTGTGAATTCTCATGGTTTGATGAATAACGTTATAAATAATCAGGGCTCTCAATCTGCCAGATTTGGGGCCAATATTCGGCTCCATTCCCAATGCAAAAAAGTATCTTTTTTCCCAATTTAGACCCCAAGTTTTCCCAATTCTAAGGAAAACACAGTTATTTTTCCCAATTCTAAGGGTGTGAGAGCCCTGATAATTATGTGTCTGGGACATAGATAAAATGATAACACCATTAAAACATTACAATAGACAATAAATAAAGGGTGATCCAGTAGCCCTAATGTAGAACTTTACAGTAGCGTCCTTGACACAATGAAACATTAGTAACACCTGTCCAGTCTTTCCACAGCTTACCTTGTAATATTTGACACGAACTGATGGACTTAAGATAAACTAAATTTTGTGATTTATTCTGACCGTTTTCTGTGACAGATCTTCCCCTGGCTGAAGCGGTTTGGAGCTACAGGGCTACTGATTGAGTATGAGGACATGTTTCCTTATTGGGGGGACTTGGAGGAGATAGCTTGTGAATATGCATACAGGTAATACAATTTCTGTATCTGTACAAGGCCTCCTAATGTTACAAGTCATACAGGTAATACAATTTCTGTATCTGTACAAGGCCTCCTAATGTTACAAGTCGTACAGGTAATACAATTTCTGTATCTGCACAAGGCCTCCTAATGTTACAAGTCCTACTGGTAATACAATTTCTGTATCTGTACAAGGCCTCCTAATGTTACAAGTCATACAGGTAATACAATTTCTGTATCTGTACAAGGCCTCCTAATGTTACAAGTCATACAGGTAATACAATTTCTGTATCTGTACAAGGCCTCCTAATGTTACAAGTCGTACAGGTAATACAATTTCTGTATCTGTACAAGGCCTCCTAATGTTACAAGTCATACAGGTAATACAATTTCTGTATCTGTACAAGGCCTCCTAATGTTACACAGTCAGGTGTATTTGTACAATATATGTTAAGCTGTATGCATGTTGATAATATAATTGTTTTTAGTTTGAGGTGGTCTTATTGTTTATTTGTGTTATTGGTGTGTTGTTTACTTGGGCCATCTCAAGGTCACAGGAATCAAATGTGAGCACTTTCTTATTGATAATTGAGTGGTCCAGGGTAATGGTGTTTGACTAGTTTCATGCAAGGATTAAGAGCTACAAAAATACATCATTTACCCTTTATAATGTTTTAGGGGTCAAATTTGTTTAGAACTGCCAGTTTTCCCCTTATCAATCACCTCTAAGCCCACTGTAATGATTTGGTAACATTCTCGAGAAATTGGCTTTCAACTCTGCAATAGTTTGATGAACTGACTAAGTCTGCTTTTTAAACTGTAGAAGGGCCGAGCTGTTCAGGTATATTGTGCTTCTTGTTTACTATTTTATCATATGTTGTTTACAGTAAGGAAGCTGTAGAGAGGATTCTACAACTGGCAGCTGATAATGACCTCATAGTCATCCCTTTGGTACAGACATTCGGCCATTTTGAGGTAAGTTCTCAAACTTTGATATGAAATGGGCATTGCATATACAAAACATATGTGAATGCAAGAAGCAGGTCACAGCACAGAGACATACAGTAAATTTTAAAAGATAGACATACTTACATGTACAATTCAATGCCACACAGACCTTTGCACAGATTTACAATAATGTATATTCTAATATATGTCCTTTTACTAAGGATACAAATTATGCTGTGGTGCAGCAACTATCATTCATTGTCCATTTTCCATCTGACATCAACTTTTCAATTAAAACAACTCTTGTCAATAACCAACATACCAAATGTGGTATTTTGCTTCTGGGTTACTGGAATGAAGCCTTATAGAGTTTGCAAAAAGCAAAGACTTTCACCCTTATTCAAGGTCACAGGGTCAAATTTTAAAAATTTGTAAACAACTTCCTTCTGACTAACCAATAGGCACAGAAGCATGGTATTCAGCTGGTAGGTTCGTATTATGAAGCTTGTAAAAGTTTGCAAACAGAAATGACATTGACCCATATTCAAGGTCACAGGGGCGAAATTGTCAAAAGCTGTTAAATACACCTTCTAGTATACACAAACTCTGAAAAGCAAGATATTTAGTAAAAAGGGTATTTCTAAGTAAAAGCCAGACAGTTTTTGAGAAAAAAAGAAATGGCATTGACCTATTATCCAGGTCATAACTGTCACTGTTTAGAGATGAGTATTAGAAGCTGTTTGTTGTGGAAATTTGGTAATATTGATTGGATGTGTCCACTTTGAAAGTCAATCGTGTATGTGTTACCGTATTTGTGATAAACACCCATTCTATTTTTTTTTCTATGAACCTGGTATTACAGCTGAGTGATGTCGGCCTGTTGGTCCTCTTATTGTCATGTCACTTTCATGTCTTCTTTTGACAGATCAAAATATTGCAAAATTGATACGTAGGTTTGAAATTAAAAAAAAAAAAATTTTTTGTACACATACATACTAACCTTTTGATTTAAAACATTTTCAATTAAGAACAGTGTCTACAAGATTGTCCGGTTAATTTTTCACCAATTTTCATTTCAAACTCACAAATTACCACAAGTGAGAGGATGAATGCATTTTCTTTACTCATCGTTTCATTTCACGTTCATTAAAGTAAATGTACTTCACAGAACAAATTGTTTCCTTACTTTTTAGTTATCAAGTTACTAGCAGAAATTAATATTTTTACTTTTTAGTTATCAAGTTACTAGCAGAAATTTATTTTTTTACTTTTTAGTTATCAAGTTACTAGCAGAAATTAATATTTTTACTTTTTAGTTATCAAGTTACTAGCAGAAATTAATATTTTTTCCGTTTTAGTTATCAAGTTACTAGCAGAAATTAATATTTTTTCCGTTTTAGTTATCAAGTTACAAGCAGAAATTTATTTTTTTACTTTTTAGTTATCAAGTTACTAGCAGAAATTTATTTTTTTACTTTTTAGTTATCAAGTTACTAGCAGAAATTAATATTTTTTCCGTTTTAGTTATCAAGTTACAAGCAGAAATTTATTTTTTTACTTTTTAGTTATCAAGTTACTAGCAGAAATTTATGTTTTTACTTTTTAGTTATCAAGTTACTAGCAGAAATTAATATTTTTACTTTTTAGTTATCAAGTTACTAGCAGAAATTAATTTTTTTACTTTTTAGTTATCAAGTTACTAGCAGAAATTTATTTTTTTACTTTTTAGTTATCAAGTTACTAGCAGAAATTAATATTTTTACTTTTTAGTTATCAAGTTACTAGCAGAAATTTATGTTTTTACTTTTTAGTTATCAAGTTACTAGCAGAAATTAATATTTTTACTTTTTAGTTATCAAGTTACTAGCAGAAATTTATTTTTTTACTTTTTAGTTATCAAGTTACTAGCAGAAATTTATTTTTTTACTTTTTAGTTATCAAGTTACTAGCAGAAATTAATATTTTTCCCATTTTAGTTATCAAGTTACTAGCAGAAATTTATGTTTTTACTTTTTAGTTATCAAGTTACTAGCAGAAATTAATATTTTTACTTTTTAGTTATCAAGTTACTAGCAGAAATTAATATTTTTTCCGTTTTAGTTATCAAGTTACAAGCAGAAATTTATTTTTTTACTTTTTAGTTATCAAGTTACTAGCAGAAATTTATCATTTTATCAAATATACTTATGTCTCTTTTCAGTTTGTATTAAAACATGACAAGTTTGTGTCTTTACGAGAAGTTCCCACTTTTCCGATGGCGCTCTGTCCTTCCAATCCAGGTAAATACTCTTGTTATACAATTCAGTGAATGTGTTTGTCCATCTGTTTGTTAATTTCTAACAAAAGGGACCACACCTTAATTTGACCACGCCTAACTGTTGATGGTGGGATTAATGCCAAAAATTAAGAAACTTAAACAAGGGAAGTTAATAAACTCTTACAGTAATTTGTATTGTAGTGTAAGATGAATTTTTTTGTATTGATAAAAAAGATATAAACCAGATTAAGGTTAATGAGGCTGATATGTGTATTTTACTTTCAGATTCCCTGACCGCTGTAACAATGATGATTGATCAGGTGATAGAACTTCACCCGGCACTTCAGTGGTTCCATATAGGAGCTGATGAGGTATACAGTTCCAAAATAGTCCACAGGGGAAACAACCTTTTCAAGTATTTGGTCAAAGAAGCCATCTGGATACTCCACAATGGGCCAATACTAAACAGGGACGAGGGGGGCCACAGACTCTCACACATCTATGACCAAGTGTTAAACAAAGCAACACCAAAATGACTACAGTATCTTGTTCCCATCTTGTGTATTTTTTTTGTCTATAATCTTTTTACCATTTCGTGACACTATTTTCAACTTGGTGTACATAGGATTATAGTACAGCTGAAAAAGGTTGATTGATTCTCTACTATCTTGTACACTACATGCATCACGGTTAGTATACTCCACACTGGTCATTTGTCTGATGAAGGTCACCGAGTAGTCATTGAAACATCACACTCTAAATTTCTACTGGTTGTGTTATAAGATGAAGGAGACCGTGAAGTTATCAAAACGGCACACTCTAATCTTCTATTGATTGTTTTGTAAGAACTTCTATCCTATTGACATAACCAACCTGAAGAAAATGTTGAAATAAAAATGCAAAAATATATTGTTACTGTGTAACGTTCCTCAGAGGTATCGATTGTTTATACAGACCCTTCAGTAGTGAAACATTTGTCAACCATCCCAGCATGAAAGATTTATTAGCAATTGTGTGGTACTTTGTTTAGAAATCCTTTACAGTTTGTGAAATGTGTTTCTCGTTTGAAGTAAAGTGGATTGTTATCAAATAGAATGGTCAAAACTTTAAATCTATTGCTGTTTATGACTTACTTAGAAATCATACATTTTCACGGGGATCAATTTTTGTGTTTTTCTGAAAATTCTTTTTTATGGACTTTTAATTTCATGGATAAATATGGCCTGATAGATCTACTTAATATACATAATAGTTTGTGATCATATGAATTCATGAAATAAGGATACCTACAAATCAATGAAAAAAAACCCACAGAGAATGAAAAATACCATAATCATAATTCAAAGTCAAATTCAATACAAAAAGGGTAAAATATGAACAAAAGAAAGATTTACACAGAAAAAGTACAGGGAGAATAAGACCAGGTGTTCCAGAAGAGTAAACGTGTTCTGCTTCATCGAAAGTAAAGCCCTCACAAAAATTAGTATCTTTACAGTATAGAGATATGGAGAGAACAACCTAGAACCCTTAAAGTTTCCATAATCGATTGCAATGACATCATGAAATATATTTCTAATCCTCAATTAATTGATAAACACATAATTGATTTCCATTTGTTACTGATATTAGGTGTACCACATCGGAATTTGTGACAAGTGTAAGAAGCGGATGAATGTGGAGAATTTATCAACACAGCAGCTCTTTTTTGCCCACACACAGGCTGTTCTTCTCTACCTCAAGGCCAAGCATCCAAACATAAAAGCCATCATGTGGGATGACATGCTACGCTTCACTGAACTCCCTGTTCTTCAAGGTAGACTTAGTCGCTATGCTTCACTGAACTCTCTGTTCTTCAAGGTAAACTTAGTGGCTACGCTTCACTGAACTCTGTTCTTCAAGGTAGACTTAGTTGCTATGCTTCACTGAACTCTCTGTCCTTCAAGGTAAACCTAGTGGCTACGCTTCACTGAACTCCCTGTTCTGCAAGGTAGTCTTAGTTGCTTTGCTTCACTGAACTCTCTGTTCTTCAAGGTAAACGTAGTCTCATATGGCATCTTATTATTGAACTGTCTGACTTCACCTGTTTGCTCGGTGTATCGCCCTGTCAACAGTCAGGGTCAATTTGAGGCAGGGTCTCTCTGTATTTACCAGTGACTTTCTTATTGAACATCCTTTCCAAAGCAATCAGAGTTAAATACCTTGCACAACTATGACAAAACTGGAAATTAAGGGATCTTAGTTAACATCATGAGTGAAAAACCATAGCAACAAGTGATCAGATAACACACGTCGGATACTTTATGTTTGAACTTATTGGAGAAACCTAATGCACTTATTGCAGTCAAACCAAAGTCTTGTACTGTGTCATTCCACTGTATTTATTGCCACTGTTAATGATGATGGAACGTGATGTAACCATGGTGATTGTTTCACTGTAGGGTCTGGTCTTGGAGGTCTGGTGGAAGTGATGGTGTGGCACTACCTCAGCAACTTCCTTCTTCCAGCAGGTAAGTCAAATACATAATTTTGTCTTTCTGCCCTCAGTTCTTTCAATTGATAAACTATATACGTTACTTTCTCCCCTAAGGAATAAGTCGTGCACATTTTCCTTCCTTGAGAAAGAAAGAACACACGACTTCCTCCCTCATGAAAGAAAGAACACACGACTTCCTCCCTCATGAAAGAAAGAACACACGACTTCCTCCCTCTTGAAAGAAAGAACACACAACTTCCTCCCTCATGAAAGAAAGTACACCTGATTTCCTTTCTCAAAGAATAAGTTTAACATTATATCCTTCCTAAAAAACACACACCTTTTTCACTGGAGAATTAAGTCTTATACAACTTCCTCCCTCAAGGATTAAGTCATATACAACTTCCTAGTCGCACACAACTTCCTCTTCTCAAGGAATAATTCACACAACACACAACTTTCTCTCTCTCAAGGACTTAGTCACACAGCTTCTTCACACATGATCTGATCAGTCACACAGCTTTTTCTCACATGAGCTGATCAGTCATACTCAAATTCCTCCCTCCTTGACTAAGTCACATACACCTTCCCTCTAGAACTAAATAAGTGTGTATCAACTACACCATTCATTCAGTATTATAAGAAGATTTTGAGATCTATTTGATAAGTTCAGATCACCCAAAGTTAACAAACAAGCAAAAACCAACTTATCTAATTGTTTTGTGTATACTTCAGATATATGGGATAAGTTTTCTCAGGTGTTCCCTAATATCTGGTTCGCCAGTGCGTTTAAAGGTGCAACAGGCTCAAGTGTGTATGTGACAAACATCAAATACCATGTGGAGAATCATCTTGCTTGGCTACAGATACTGGAGAAGGAGAAAGCAAAATTTCACAACTTCCGAGGTTTTGCGATTACTGGTTGGCAAAGGTAAGGCTATAAAGGTACCTGACACTGTACATTTCAGGCTTCTGACATGAATGCTAGACATTAAGTGTTGTAGGTATGACTACTACAATATTTTGTGTTGTAGGTATGACCACTATGCTATTTTATATTGTAGGTATGACCAGTATGCTATTTAGTGTTGTAGGTATGACCACTATGCTTTTTTATATTGTAGGTATGACCACTATGCTATTTTGTGTTGTAGGTATGACCACTATACTATTTTATGTTGTAGGTATGACCACTATGCTATTTCGTGTTGTAGGTATGACCACTATGCTATTTTGTGTTGTAGGTGGTGTGACCACTATGCTATTTTGTGTTGTAGGTATGACCACTATGCTATGTTGTGTTGTAGGTATGACCACTATGCTATTTCGTGTTGTAGGTATGACCACTATGCTATTTCGTGTTGTAGGTATGACCACTATGCTATTTTATATTGTAGGTATGACCACTATGCTATTTTATGTTGTAGGTATGACCACTATGCTATTTTATGTTGTAGGTATGACCACTATGCTATTTTATATTGTAGGTATGACCACTATGCTATTTTATATTGTAGGTATGACCACTATGCTATTTCGTGTTGTAGGTATGACCACTATGCTATTTTATATTGTAGGTATGACAGTGCTCCAGATAACTTTTTGACATGTGGGGTTTTCACTCCTACCTTTATAAATTGAGGGGTTTTTTCACCCCTGCCTTCAACAAGTGTATGGGTTTTTCCATATTAGGGTAACACTGAATTTGTAAACATTTTTGACAGCGCCATATTTGCTATGCGACTGGTTTATAATCACGATCAAGAAAGCGCTTGTTACGAGTTTCGTTTACTTGATAAGTGTCTGTTTGACTTAGATTATTGAGTTTTCTAACTACGTAATATTGGAGCCGGACATTGACGCAGAGTCCGGATTTCGCACGGGTTAATGACGCAAATCTTATTATTTTCCTAGCGTGAAATTAGAAATATTGTGCGTGAAAACGCATTCACGCAGGCTATCTGGAGCACTGTATGACCTCTATGCTATTTTGTGTTGTAGGTATGACCACTATGCTATTTTATATTGTAGGTATGACCACTATGCTATTTTATGTTGTAGGTATGACCACTATGCTATTTTATGTTGTAGGTATGACCACTATGATATTTTATATTGTAGGTATGACCACTATGCTATTTTGTGTTGTAGGTATGACCACTATGCTATTTCGTGTTGTAGGTATGACCACTATGCTATTTTATATTGTAGGTATGACCACTATGCTATTTTGTGTTGTAGGTATGACCACTATGCTATTTTATATTGTAGGTATGACCACTATGCTATTTTATATTGTAGGTATGACCACTATGCTATTTTATGTTGTAGGTATGACCACTATGCTATTTTATATTGTAGGTATGACCACTATGCTATTTTATATTGTAGGTATGACCACTATGCTATTTCGTGTTGTAGGTATGACCACTATGCTATTTTATATTGTAGGTATGACCACTATGCTATTTTACATTGTAGGTATGACCACTATGCTATTTTGTGTGAACTATTACCACAAGCACTTCCGTCTCTTGCCATATGTCTGTCAATCCTCAATAAAGGTCAGTGTGATTAGTTGATAAGGATATAAGTTTTAACATTTGTCAGTTGAGTGAGGTTTAGATTTATGAAAGTGACATCATGGTAAAACAATATCTCTTAAGTGAATTTTTTTTATTATTGCATACATATATCAAGTGTATTACCTTATGAACAATGACAGTTGGTTTTTGATGAAATATACACATAACAAGTGGTTAATTGATTATCATAAAGTGGAAATTCGTATCAGTTGATTAACAATCTGGATATATAAATTTTTGCATCACATTTGATGATGATGCATGCAAAACACTGTAAAAAACTGGATATCTGCCTGAATCATTCGTGATTATGTTGGCAATTAATGTTTATTATTTGTAATTCTGAATTGTGTTAGAGTTATCCGATAACATATGCCACTCCCAGAACAAAATCTGCTGCTGAAAAATCAGATTTTACCTACTGTGCCTCTATTGTCAATTGAGTTCGTGTTGGCAAAGTGAACTGCTTTGTTTTCTGATCTATTAAGTAACATTATCAGCACTAAATTTGAGGGGGGCTTCCCGAACGAAAGGAGTGGTCAAGCTGGACATTGGAATTGGACTAAGAATATTAGGATACCACAGAAACATAACTGAAAATGTATCAAACGAGTTCAAGAAAATTTCAGTTTTTACGGTGATGTCCCTTTACGATGATAATACAAGTAGCTGAAATTAATATCTTGCTTTATTGGTTATTTTGTCATTGAATTATTAAGTATTTTTGTTAAATTTTTCAATTTATTTATTTGATTTTAAGGTTTTTAGACTTAAAGTTAATAAAAGCATTTTTTTTTTACATTTGTACAGGGACCTTTTCCTTTGATATCCACAACGAGGTTTCTAAACAACTGAAATCTACTAGTCTCATTCCAATTAATGCACCTCATTTGTAAGTACAAATTTTATACTTAATTAATATTCACTACTGCATACATTATAATTAAAATTCAGTTGAAAAGCTGTAAAATTTGCATTAAAATAATGAAAATCGTTAAAAATACCAATGAAATCATGTTTTGAATTTTTTAATTGATCTGTACAACTTATATTAAAAGTCATTTAAATTAATTATTAATATCCATTAACTGATGCAAAAACAAAAAAAAAACAATGAAATTACACTTGTACACAATAAAGTATTTGACAGGTATGAATAAAGTACTAAGATTTGTATTGTATTTTTTTAATGGACATTTTGATATCAAGTGTAAATACGTTTTGTATGATAGATAAAGGATAAAATCAATACCATGTCTATTGACAAATTGTAACTCCACATGTGTTTTTTGTGGTGGAAAAATCATGTAAAAAGGGAAAGAAAAGGAAAAAAGGATTTTGCATTTTTTTAAAATTTAGAATTAAATGTCTTACATTTCCAATTCTTTTATTTTTACTGAACACTACAATTCATTTTTTCATACCACTAATAACACTACCATTACAGATCAATGTTATGTCCATTTGAGAAATATTGAAATAATGTTCATTATCTTCAAGGACTTTGTTTTTCCTTATTTTTTTTATTGTGTATCTCACCTTATAGGCTTACTTGTAAGAGGACAATGAAATAACACCTCGTTTCTCAGAAACGAGCTTCATAAGTGATTAATTCTTATTAAAGATTGATAACCTGAAAATAAAAGAAAACTAAATCTCCAGAAAATAGAACTACATATGATTAAGATAAATATGAAAAATGATGGTGAATTTCTCATCCTCATGGACACATTTTAATCTGTGTTTTTATGTCGAGAGTTTCATTGTAAATATAAACTAACTGATTTTGTTTATGCTGTCAATGGTGTAAAATAAATGATATAAATAAGTGTCTTTTAAGGAGTGAGATTCCACACAGCGAATTCCCTGGGTCAGACATATATAAAGTTATGTTAAATTACTGTGTTTAAGGACCGAGATTCCACACAGCGAATTCCCTGGGTCAGACATATATAAAGTTATGTTAAATTACTGTGTTTAAGGACCGAGATTCCACACAGTGAATTCCCTGGGTCAGACATATATAAAGCTATGTTGGAGTTTATTCGAGTGGATTTAGCTTTTGATGACTTCATGAACAATGAGGCGTGAGTTTATTTCTTTTATTTTCGTAATTCAGACATTGTCAAAAATTTAACCTGTAAATGGTTGATGGCAAATCAGATTTGTAATTCAGGAATGATAAATTAGTTTGAGTCATCCATCAAGGATTTTGAAAACCAATATTGATAATTAATATTTATAATTATGTATGTTTGTTCTGTTTACAATGATACAATTTTTTTTGTGCATTCTGATAAATTCAATATTATTTAAATTAGTTACCTGGTTTAAATTTCATGGTTATTGTTAAAAATTATACAAAATTAATGTAATATCTCATGAAATCTGATTCAGGCGTTTGACATGGATGAACGAATACCATTTGAAGCGGAATTTTGCCAACCCTGTACATGTGGAACCTTTATTGGCTCAAGCTGTAGAGTAAGGATTCTTAAAGATCAATATGTTATTGAAAGTGTACAAACTTGTGATGTATTTCTCAAATATAGTTATTATACACTCTGCTGTTTTATGGGTAAGCAAATAATGCTATAAATCTTTCTCTGTGACATCATGTCCCACCCAAAATCTGTCATCACTCCAGGGTAGGGTATTTTATCAAACATTTTACAAACATCAGCTATGGCATACCTGGGTCAAGTTTGCATTTCTTAACTCCCGAACCAAGGTCATCATTACTATTTATAGAAAGTTTCAGTTTCGTTTCAGTTGTACAGCTATTTTAACTTTTTTCTCAAGGAATTGGAACAAACTTCATGTTACTGTCAAACATTGATAGGATGTTCATTTCTTTCTGGTTATATATATATATATTCATGTGGCTATTGAATTAAATCAATTTTAGGTGAAAGTCAAAGTGTCTTTTCATGGTTAATTTCATAACTATAATTATAGCATGGTAAAGTTAATTGATTGGGATTTTTTACTTAAAATGAACTTAATTAAATTTAATAGCATAGCTCTTTGACTTTTAAATTTTGTATATAAAATCTTGTATGGAAAATAAGCTGGACTGAAGTACAATGTTATGGATGTAAAATTTTGTGATTTTTTTTTTCAGAATCCTGGACAGCCTCCAGATGTTATACAGCAGGTTACAGACAGCCCTGTCCCAGATTTTCTATCCTAACACTGTCGAAGAGTGGCTAGCAGTCTTCCCAGGATACCGTATCTCTAAACTCTCCGAGGTAGTGGAGACCGTCCGAAATAATCTAGGTCACAATAAGGACATGCAGACTTAAAAAATCCCCAAATAAACATGAACCTTTGAGTGTTGTGAGATATCTCTGTAATAGTCGGTAGGTTTTTGAGGAATAGAACGACAAGAATTGTCCCAAGGGTCAAGGTTTTGTTCACTTCTGAGAAGATTTATCTCGGTTAATTTTTTATTTACAAAATGTGTTTCCCTAAAATATAGAATCTTTTTAATGATAGTGCATATTCTGCCTTCAGAAAAATTACTGGATTTTTAGCCCACCATCCGATGATTGGGGGGGGGGGGACGACTATTCCTATTCAAACCTACGTCTGTGGTCTATCCATCTGTCTGTATACAATTTTTGTTATTGTTAAATCTTGAGAAGCACTGGATGGGTCTTTCTCAAATTCCATAGGTAGCTTTGTCCCTAGTTGTGCCCATTTTGATTCTGGGACTTATCAGAAAAGACAAAATGGCTTCCAGGCAACCATCTTGGATTTGGCAAGTAAAGATTATCATCACCATTTCTTCAAAGGAATGTTCAAATTTCTTATCATTAAGAGCAAAAAACAGAGAAGTGAATAGAAAAGAAGGGAAAAGATTCAATTTCAAAGAGCAAATAAAGATCAAATAATGGTGGATGCCAACATCCCTCTGGGATCTCTTGTTTATAGAATGCTCTAAATATAAATACTAATTAGAATTTTTCATCTACCTGACCTGGCTACACATGATAAGATGGCAATCTTTTCATATTTCCTGTCATCAATCCACTCATGAAAATTCTTTTCAGCTACGATGTTTTCCAACAGAAGGATAATTCTTTATGTTTGCAAAACTTGTTGCTGAGATCTTATCACAGGTATTTGCAACATGACGTATGATTTTCGGACAATGAAGAGAGAAGTGACTTGCATTATCTTCAATATTCAGTACGTATTCTTAAAAAAATCGTAGCATGACCAAATCTTGTTCCAAAGTTAAAGATGTTCGTGTGGTGCTGCAGTCTGCTTTTAGAGAGCCTTTTAGAAGGTTAATGTCAATATGTTGTGACTATTTTGTACTTGATAAAAAGTTGCAGTGTTGTCATGCTTAGTAATTTGTGCAATATCTTCTATTCTATTGAGGCAATCATGTATATTTGTTTGAGACTTGAATTAATAATGTTGATGGGGTGCATGGGATGGCTTTTCAGGTTAACAGCTAGGACCAGTAACCTTATATTTCTCAAAGTAAAACTATAGTGATGTTTATGTTCAAGACTTGAATTCATAATGTTGCTGGGATGTTTGGGATGACTTTTGAAGTTAACAGCTATGACTATCCTACTGTTATTCAAAGTAGAATTATAGTCATTTCTAGATCTCTGTGCAATAACCTTTTTTCTTATAAGTCAATTGTGCTTATATTTGTTATATAGAAAATCAAACACTGATGTAATGCTAAAGGGATATAACTCTGTCTCACTCAGCCAATCTTTCTCGTCACTAATTGGTATCTCATAGGAGTCACTAAAGGGATATAACTCTATCTTACTCAGCCAATCTTTCTCGTCACTAATTGGTATCTCATAGGAGTCACTAAAGGGATATAACTCTATCTTACTCAGCCAATCTTTCTCGTCACTAATTGGTATCGCGTAGGAGTCACTAAAGGGGTATAACTCTATCTCGCTCAGCCAATCTTTCTCGTCACTAATTTGTATCTCGTAGGAGTCACTGGAACTATGTGATGTAGCTGTACTGTTTGAGTATAGATATTTTGCATGGACATGGCACAACCATATTGGAAGGTTTAACAATTTTTTTATTTACGAGGAACAACAGGATGTGTAGTCCTATAATCATGGAAAACTTTTGATTAAATAGTCAGGGTCACAATATGTTCATTGATACAAAGAAAAGAGGTCTGATTGATCTTTTAATCTCTTTCTTGCCTGTCAACATTTCAAGACAACATATATCATACAGAAAAAACAGGATACACAAAAAATGTGTCAACATCCCTCTTAAATATTTTATTTTATTCCAAAATTGTCTCTTTTGTTGTTGAGTGTAAAAATTTATGGCTGTTTTGACAAAATTGATGGTGTAACATGCTGAACCATCCTTTATGTGTACCTTCAAACTATTCTTAATGTGCAATATCAGTACAGTGTGCTAGCACTTTGATAGTTGTAAAGACATGTTTAGAAAATTGTATTTAATGATTAGACATTAAAGACGCAATGTCATATTCTCACCAAATCACAAATCCATTATTTTCCACTTATCTGTACAAAGTTTAAAAGTGAACATATTTTTGTCCAATAAATAACAGTCTCCATGACAGTCTTTAGTATTCATATATGATTGTATAGTTTTCAACATAAATGGTTTGTTCAACTATTAATCGCTCATTAAGCCGATATCAGACCTATGTAGGATACAGTGTGGATACAAGGTTTTAAAGCAGTATAATTTCAGTATTATAACCTTGCAGCATTAAAATTCATTATACCTTTAAACAGTGTACAACAATATTCTTTAACATTAAAAAAAAACACTAGGTATTTTAGGCATAAATAAAGAACCATAATATCGGGACAGGTGTGAGTTTCAAGGTTATTGGGTCGAGGTCAAGGTCACCATTATTTTGTTTTAGAAACTCTTGGCAGCACTTCGGTGGCTTCATTCCAGGAGTGTTTTTCATCGAACTTCACATTCATTTAAAGAACAATGATAACTAAGTATGGGTTTGAGTGACAGGGTTGTAGCATCAATGTCAAGGTCACAACTACTATTTTTAGAAAATCTTTGTCAGCACCCTATAGATATTGTGTTTGTAATTTCATTCCCTTGGGGATTATATCAAGACAATTTGTAATCTTCATTATTGTGTTTTAGGTGGAACAGTGAGAGGATCTGTTTAGTTTGTGATTGCTTGTGTGGTTCTAATATGTATGACATGTATATATGTTGGATGGCAACAACATTTATTGTGTTAATGTGTGCCCTTGTAGAGCTTGGATATCAACAGATGTCGTTGTAAACTGTAGATCTATTTATGTAGGGCAGCAACGACATTGTGTTAATGTGTACCCTTGTAGAGCTTGGATATCAACAGATGTCGTTGTAAACTGTAGATCTATTTATGTAGGGCAGCAACGACATTGTGTTAATGTATACCCATGTAGAGCTTGGATATCAACAGATGTCGTTGTAAACTGTAGATCTATTTATGTAGGGCGGCAATGACATTGTGTTGATGTGTACCCTTGTAGAGCTTGGATATCAACAGATGTCATTGTAAACTGTAGATCTATTTATGTAGGGCAGCAACGACATTGTGTTAATGTATACCCATGTAGAGCTTGGATATCAACAGATGTCGTTGTAAACTGTAGATCTATTTATGTAGGGCTGCAACGACATTGTGTTAATGTATACCCATGTAGAGCTTGGATATCAACAGATGTCGTTGTGAATTGTAGATCTATTGATGTAGGGCGGCAACGACATTGTGTTAATGTATACCCATGTAGAGCTTGGATATCAACAGATGTCGTTGTAAACTGTAGATCTATTTATGTAGGACAACAACGACATTGTGTTAATGTGTGCCCTTGTAGAGCTTGGATATCAACAGATGTCGTTGTAAGCTGTAGATCTATTTATGTAGGGCAACAATGACATTGTGTTAATGTGTGCCCTTGTAGAGCTTGGATATCAACAGATGTCGTTGTGAACTGTAGATCTATTTATGTAGGACAACAACGACATTGTGTTAATGTGTGCCCTTGTAGAGCTTGGATATCAACAGATGTCGTTGTAAACTGTTGATCTATCTATGTAGGGCAACAATGACATTGTGTTAATGTGTGCCCTTGTAGAGCTTGGATATCAACAGATGTCATTGTAAACTGTAGATCTATTTATGTAGGGCAGCAACGACATTGTGTTAATGTATACCCATGTAAAGCTTAGATAACAACAGATGTCGTTGTAAACTGTAGATCTATTTATGTAGGGCGGCAACGACATTTATTGTGTAAATGTATTCTTTTACAAAGTTTTATTAACAAAAGTTGTCACTCTAGATCTAGTCATGTTTGTTCCTTCTCTATCTTCTATCTACTATGAAACTTACATAGATCAAAGTTTACTCCCGGTAGAGAAAACATGAAATCATTAAAATATAAAGTAACAAAATCGTGTTGTTTTTATTTACATATATATCTCTTCTATTTCATTGAATCAATTTGAAATGTTGCTTTTGACAAATTTTTTCACTTTTACCAAATTCTTTTCCATGAACATCTGAAAAGATTTTATATCTGTTTAACACTAATTACAAAGCAATAAATATTTCATGGCACATTAGCACATGTTTAGTAGTTTGGACAAGGCCATCACCATCACAGATGTGCCCAATGGTTTGGACAAGGCCATCACCATCACAGATGTGCCCAATGGTTTGGACAAGGCCATCACCATCACAGATGTGCCCAATGGTTTGGACAAGGCCATCACCATCACAGATGTGCCCAATGGTTTGGACAAGGCCATCACCATCACAGATGTGCCCAATGGTTTGGACAAGGCCATCACCATCACAGATGTGCCCAATGGTTTGGAGAAGATGTTCACCATCACAGCTGTATTCAGTGGTTTAGAGAAGATGTTCACCATCACAGCTATGTTCAGTAGATTGGAGAAGATGTTCACCATCACAGCTGTGTTCAGTGGTTTGGAGAAGATGTTCACCATCCCAGCTGTATTCAGTGGTTTGGAGAAGATGTTCACCATCACAGCTATGTTCAGTGGTTTGGAGAAGATGTTCACCATCACAGCTGTGTTCAGTGGTTTAGAGAAGATGTTCACCATCACAGCTGTGTTTAGTGGTTTAGAGAAGATGTTCACCATCACAGCTGTGTTTAGTGGTATAGAGAAGATGTTCACCATCACAGCTGTGTTTAGTGGTTTAGAGAAGATGTTCACCATCCCAGCTGTATTCAGTGGTTTGGAGAAGATGTTCACCATCACAGCTATGTTCAGTGGTTTGGAGAAGATGTTCACCATCACAGCTGTGTTCAGTGGTTTGGAGAAGATGTTCACCATCACAGCTGTGCCCAATGGTTTGGAGAAAATGTTCACCATCCCAGCTGTATTCAGTAGATTGGAGAAAATGTTCACCATTAATGTTTAAACCTGTGAACTAAAGTCATTTCTTCTTGTTTTTTGGCATCTTCTCAAGCCCAGTAACATATTTCCTGGGTACTTTATATTTTTCTGAAAAGGAAAACAAAACATTACATGAAATTATGAATAATTACTGACAGAGATTGGCTGAAAACCATTGAAGGAGATTTCAAACCATGTAACTTAAAGTCAGTGTGATTAATACCGATCTTGAAAACAATTGGTAGAAAAATCTGGCAGTATTGCTGGACAAGTGAATTTATGAAGGAAATGAGCACAATGACAAGTATTAATATTGTGGTACGTTCTGTCGAAATTCTTACAGGTGTGTGACAAAAGCTACATGTAGGAGAAAAATATGAAAGCTTCAAACTGGTGATTCTTGAATACATACACTTCAAAGATAAGATGAAATTTGTAAAGATGAATTACATGATAAGTACACTACATGTGGAGATTACAAAGATTCACAAGGTACCATGTGGTTCACAATATATATCAAACTGTATGCAGGCTTTCATCTCAGAATCAATTAAATTTGATCATGCTTGATTGATATAAGATTAAATTTGTATATTTAGGAGACATTACAACCTATATTTGATCAGAAACTATATCAATGCTAAAATTCATACAAGTATAGAGTACTGTATATCATGATTTTTCATGATTTCAACAAATAAGTAAAGTAACAACTCCTCAAGAATGTTGTATCATAAAGTGATAGTTAATGGGAGAATATCAACCTTATTAACCCGCTCTGAAAGGATATCAACCTTATTAACCCGCTCTGAAAGGATATCAACCTTATTAACCAGCTCTGAAAGGATATCAACCTTATTAACCCGCTCTGAAAGGATATCAACCTTATTAACCCGCTCTGAAAGGATATCAACCTTATTAACCTGCTCTGAAAGGATATCAACCTTATTAACCTGCTCTGAGAGGATATCAATCTATCAACTTGCTCTGATAATTGGCAAATCTCATCCAACTAGACTCTTCAAATTAAGGAAAATTTCAATTCACAATAATTTAAACTTTCTGTGCCCACTATATATAATACCACAAACTCATGACTTACCTAGGAGGAGGTCTGCAACAAACTTTACTTGGTTACCCTGCATGAGAACCTGCATGCCCTTGCCTTTCTGTGGGTGTGAATTAACATGTTCACCATCCCACCTGTATTCAGTACATTGGAGAAGATGTTCACCATCTCTAGCTTGTCAATCAAAGTGGCCTACAAGGTATTAAGCAGAATAAATGTTAAGAATGTGTTTGAAGCAACAGACCTCTGGAGCATGTAATAGTGAAATAGAAATCCAATAAAAATATGCTTTTTAATACTGTCTCCAATGTTTCAAGGGCACCATCACTATGATCAGTTTTCATGTATTTGTTTGTAGGGTGGACATTTAGTTGTTTCAATGATTAGAGATTGCAGTTCGAAAAGTCATATAAATTTAATTAACCTAATAACAATTTGATGGATGCAGAATAAAAGCCTCTATACCCATATCTGATATTTGCATACAACACAGTATCAATGACTTGGCTTATGAAATGTACATTTCATATTAATGAAAAGTGATAACTTTTTTATTGAAATGATCAGGCAGACTATTCAATATGTCAACAATATTATATGTAAAATAATTTTGATCAAGTTCTGTATTACAGTCAATTTGGCATTTTACATGTGTTTATGACCTCAATTTCTTTCCATATCACAGATAAGTAGGTTAAAGGTAACTCTGTCATAAAAAATTAGAAGATGTTTCAACTCATTTTGACTGTTTTTGTTCTCCAAGACAAACAGGACAGATCCTATAGTAATTACAGGAATGCTAATTACAATGTCTCTGGTTATAGCAGAACCTAAAGTAATTACAGGAATGCTAACTAGACCAATGTTCACCATCACAGCTGTACCTACAGATGAGTTTCTTAATATTAAGAAATATATGGACAGGTGTCAAGTATTGAAAGCAACTTTCATCAAAATCCAATGAAAATGGACAGATGGAGATATATCACCATCACAGCTGTGAACATTGAACTTGAATGAGGGGCTTATGTACCAAGTATCATGAAGCAAGTTTTAAAGAAATCCCAAATCATTCCTTCAGAAGATATTCTCTGTAAAACATTCAGCCAATCAGATTGCAGCAGCCTCATTAAATATGCACGGAATTTGGCAAACATCGAACTTGAACGAGGGACTTATGTACCAAGTATCATAAGCAAGTTTCATCGAAATCCCATCATTCCTTCTCAAGATATTGCGTGGAAAGCGAAACCGACAGACATGTAAAACATTCAGCCAATCAGATTGCAGCAGCCTCATTAAATATGCGCGGAATTTGGCGAACATCGAACTTGAGCGAGGGACTTATGTACCAAGTATCATAAGCAAGTTTCATCGAAATCCCATCATTCCTTCTCAAGATATCGCGTGGAAAGCGAAACCGACAGACATGAAAAACATTCAGCCAATCAGATTGCAGCAGCCTCATTAAATATGCATGCGGAATTTTGGCGAACATCGAATAATTACTGTCATGTACCAAGTATCATAAGAGGGATTATGTACCAAGTATCATAAGCAAGTTTCATCGAAATCCCATCATTCCTTCTCAAGATATCGCGTGGAAAGCGAGACAGACATGTAAAACATTCAGCCAATCAGATTGCAGCAGCCTCATTAAATATGCCGGTTTGGCGAACATCGAAAGTATCATAAGCAAGTTTCATCGAAATCCCATCATTCCTTCTCAAGATTCGGTGGAAAGCGAACAGACATGTAAAACATTCAGCCAATCAGATTGCAGCAGCCTCATTAAATATGCGCGGAATTTGGCGAACATCGAACTAGAGCGAGGGACTTATGTACCAAGTATCATAAGCAAGTTTCATCGAAATCCCATCATTCCTTCTCAAGATATTTCTGGTGTGTGTAAAAATTCAGCCAATAGATTGCAGCAGCCTCATTAAAAATATTTCAAACATCGAACTTGAAAGCAAGGGACTTATGTACCAAGTATCATTGCTGGACAAGTGAATTTATGAAAGAAATGAGCACAAGCATAGTATTAATATTGTGGTACGTGTTTCATCGAAATCCCATCATTCCTTCTCAAGATATCAAAGAAAACAGACATGAAAACATTCAGCCAATCAGATTGCAGCAGCCTCATAAATGATAAGTATTTGTAAAGATAATTACATGATAAGGAGTGGATTACAAAGATTCACAAGGTACCATGTGGTTCACAATATATATCAAACTGTATGCAGGCTTTCATCTCAGAATCAATTAAATTTGATCATGCTTGATTGATATAAGATTAAATTTGTATATTTAGGAGGCATTACAACATATATTTGATCAGAAACTATATCATTGCTGAAATTCATACAAGTATAGAGTACTGTATATCATGATTTTTCATGATTTCAACAAATAAGTAAAGTAACAACTCCTCAAGAATTTTGTATCATAAAGTGATAGTTAATAGGAGAATATCAACCTTATTAACCCGCTCTGAAAGGATATCAACATTATCAACCTGCTCTGAAAGAATATCAACCTTATTAACCCGCTCTGAAAGGATATCAACATTATCAACCTGCTCTGAAAGGATATCAACCTTATTAACCAGCTCTGAAAGGATATCAACCTTATTAACCCGCTCTGAAAGGATTTCAACCTTATTAACCCGCTCTGAAAGGATATCAACCTTATTAACCCGCTCTGAAAGGATATCAACCTTATTAACCTGCTCTGAAAGGATATCAACCTTATTAACCCTCTCTGAAAGGATATCAACCTTATTAACCCGCTCTGAAAGGATATCAACCTTATTAACCCGCTCTGAAAGGATATCAACCTTATTAACCCGCTCTGAAAGGATATCAACCTTATTAACCTGTTCTGAGAGGATATCAATCTATCAACTTGCTCTGATAATTGGCAAATCTCATCCAACTGGACTCTTCAAATTAAGGAAAAATTCAATTCACAATAATTTAAACTTTCTGTGCCCACTATATATAATACCACAAACTCATGACTTACCTAGGAGGAGGTCTGCAACAAACTTTACTTGGTTACCCTGCATGAGAACCTGCATGCCCTTGCCTTTCTGTGGGTGTGAATTAACACTGGTACTACATGCCACGCCCACCTGTACACGGTGGGCCACATCCGCAGGATCAATACCAAACATCTCTAAATTGTCAATCAAAGTGGCCTACAAGGTATTAAGCAGAATAAATGTTAAGAATGTGTTTGAAGCAACAGACATCTGGAGCATGTAATGGTCACTTCACAAAGGCACTTCATGAAAACTCTGGCTATGATCAGTTTTCATAGGACATTGTAATTTGTATGTACATATATTTGTTTGGAGGGTGGACATTTAGTTGTTCCAATGATTAGAGATTGCAGTTCAAAAAGTCATATAAATTTAATTAACCTAATAACAATTTGATGGACGCAGACTAAAAGCCTCTATACCCATATCTGATATTTGCATACAACACAGTATCAATGACTTGGCTTATGAAATGTACATTTCATATTAATGAAAAGTCATAACTTCTTTATTGAAATGATCAGGCAGACTATTCAATATGTCAACAATATTATATGTAAAATAATTTTGATCAAGTTCTGTATTACAGTCAATTTGGCATTTTACATGTGTTTATGACCTCAATTTCTTTCCTTAGTATCACAGATAAGTAGGTTAAAGGTAACTCTGTCATAAAAAATTACGAAGTATAGTAATTCAACTCATTTTGACTGTTTCTTTGTTCTCCAAGACAAACAGGACAGATCCTATAGTAATTACAGGAATGCTAATTACAATGTCTCTGGTTATAGCAGAACCTAAAGTAATTACAGGAATGCTAATTACAATGTCTCTAGTTATAGTAGAACCTTAAGTAATTACAGGAATGCTAATTACAATGTCTCTAGTTATAGTAGAACCTAAAGTAATTACAGGAATGCTAATTACAATGTCTCTAGTTTAGTAGAACCTTAAGTAATTACAGGAATGCTAATTACAATGTCTCTGGTTATAGTAGAACCTAAAGTAATTACAGGAATGCTAATTACAATGTCTCTAGTTATAGTAGAACCTAAAGTAATTATAGGCATGCTAATTGCAATGTCTCTAGTTTAGTAGAACCTAAAGTAATTACAGGAATGCTAATTACAATGTCTCTGGTTTAGTAGAACCTAAAGTAATTACAGGAATGCTGATTACAATGTCTCTGGTTATAGTAGAACCTAAAGTAATTACAGGAATGCTAATTACAATGTCTCTAGTTTAGTAGAACCTAAAGTAATTACAGGAATGCTAATTACAATGTCTCTAGTTTAGTAGAACCTGAAGTAATTACAGGAATGCTGATTACAATGTCTCTGGTTTAGTAGAACCTAAAGTAATTACAGGAATGCTAATTACAATGTCTCTAGTTTAGTAGAACCTTAAGTAATTACAGGAATGCTAATTACAATGTCTCTAGTTTAGTAGAACCTAAAGTAATTACAGGAATGCTAATTACAATGTCTCTAGTTTAGTAGAACCTAAAGTAATTACAGGAATGCTAATTACAATGTCTCTGGTTTAGTAGAACCTAAAGTAATTACAGGAATGCTGATTACAATGTCTCTGGTTATAGTAGAACCTAAAGTAATTACAGGAATGCTAATTACAATGTCTCTAGTTTAGTAGAACCTAAAGTAATTACAGGAATGCTAATTACAATGTCTCTAGTTTAGTAGAACCTGAAGTAATTACAGGAATGCTGATTACAATGTCTCTGGTTTAGTAGAACCTAAAGTAATTACAGGAATGCTAATTACAATGTCTCTAGTTTAGTAGAACCTTAAGTAATTACAGGAATGCTAATTACAATGTCTCTAGTTTAGTAGAACCTAAAGTAATTACAGGAATGCTAATTACAATGTCTCTAGTTTAGTAGAACCTAAAGTAATTACAGGAATGCTAATTACAATGTCTCTGGTTTAGTAGAACCTTACATAATTACAGGAATGCTAATTACAATGTGTCTAGTTATCACTGATCTAACTCACCTTTTTGTTACTGGCTCGCTGTTCTACTGTTATTTTGATTGGCTCTATTTTTCCTTTTGATATGACAGCTGGTTTTCCTGGGTATGTCACACTAAAGGCTGGCTGTGCTTTACTCAACACCCTGGTAAACAGTTAATAATTCTATTTATAGAGTCTGATAAAATCAAAGTTCCAGATGAAAATAAAAACCTGACAAGATCATTGTGTACAGTTTTATAGTCTTATTCATCTCAGCATTCCATTCAACTTTAAAAAGAATGATTAAACTAGAAAGTTTAAAATGAAAAAAACCAAATGACATCAGAGTTCACATTTCAACAGCTTGGAAACAGAAGATATGTAAACTAACAGTTAAAGGTTTCATTTAAATAGCTCAGTGAAAGCACATTTAACAATAAAACAAAAAATGGTGAAACCAAGAACAATAAACTTTTCATTTGATTTTGTGAAATTTGTGTAAATTTGCAGGTAAGTGGAAATAGACTGCAGAAAGCTAAGTTACATTTTCAATGTAGCCTTGTGCATTTAGTAAACATTTCAAATCCACAAGACCATGGCTGTGATTCCTGAATTTTCAAATGAGAAATTCAATCTTTCTTGATTGAAATTTGGGCTAATTAATAAACTCCCACTTCACAAAGTCTTTATTCTCTACTAACTTAGAGATGACGTCTTCCCAGGTCATATAGAGGGTGTTGCCCTCCCCTCTGTTCAACACGATGTCCGCTAAATGTGGGTCGAGCTGGATATTCCTACAATAAAATCAAGATCTATCATTAGAACTCCAAGGCCTGTATACTGAAGCAATGATAACTAGTAAAACCAACAATAAACAGTACTTATAAATAGGCCAACATATATTGGATGTAATTAAAGAATGCTATCTCTTCTAAAATATTCACTGTGTATCTACAGTTTACTTATCAATATGATGAAAGAAACCAAGAAATTATTTGCAATTACAATTACAATTTCGATTTTTTACTCAAATTTTGCTAGACAGGACAACCTGTTATCGTTCTCGTCCTGAAGATTGTTGTCCCTGACATAATCTGTTATCACATTCCTCATCTCCCGTACTGTCAGTGTACTTCCTTTACTGAAACAGCAGAAAAAACAAAGAGTTATAATGTACAGTGGTGTCAGAACCATATTGAACACTAGGTAAAATTTAGGAGTGAAATCGAGACCAGCTACTGTTACTCGTTTTCTGATCACAATTTCATATTCTGCATAAAAATTTTGTGTTAAATCTTTTTAGGTGTAAAAGCTGGTAATAAACTGATGTTCTTTTAATACCAGTGTTTATAACATTTTTATTTCTATAATCAGTGATATCCTGCTGCAAATGATTGATGAAATTGACAATGATTTCAAAAGTATAATCAGCAATTAACACAATTTGATAGACCAGTCTAAACTTAATACAACTCTACCAGAATACTTGTTGTATATATATTACCTGTAACCATAGGGTTTGACAAGGTGTACTAAAGCTGATGGGATGGAAAACATTTCCGTAATAGTAGGGGTTCGGAATGACTCTGCACCATCACGTCCACCTTTGTCAGTAGCCTCACTCTGAGAACATTCCAGATCTGAAGGGGTGAGTTCTTTAAGGCTGAAGACAGATTTACGACAGAATCAAAGTACTGATATCACTGAAGGGCTACACATGTTGATAATATTTACTATTAATGTTGTAACTATAAATGTGAGATATCATCCATCATATATAAAACAATCAATTTAATAGAAGATGACTATTAATGGACAAATTTGAAAATTTTAATACATTTCCCATCAAATACCTTTACCATTGTCTACATATACAAACCTGTGGTGTGACTTGTCTATATATACATAAACTGGGTGTGACTTGTCTATATATACTTACCCTGGGTGCGACATGTCTGTGTCAATAAATACATGTATATACCCTGGGTGTGACTTGTCTGTGTCTATATATACATACACCGGGTGTGACTTGTCTATACATACTTACCCTGGGTGCGACATGTCTGTGTCAATAAATACATGTATATACCCTGGGTGTGACTTGTCTGTGTCTATATATACATACACTGGGTGTGACTTGTCTATATATACTTACCCTGGGTGTGACATGTCTGTGTCAATAAATACATGTATATACCCTGGGTGTGACTTGTCTGTGTCTATATATACATACCTTGGGTGTGACCTGTCTATATAAACATAACATGGATGTGACTTTTCTGTGTCTGTATATACATACCCTGGGTGTGACCTGTCTGTATATACATACCCTGGGTGTGACCTGTCTATATATTCATACTCTGGGTGTAACTTGTCTGTGTCTATATATACTTACCCTTGGTGTGACCTGTCTATATATATACATACCATGGGTATGACCTGTCTATATATACTTACCCTTGGTGTGACTTGTCTATGCTTACAATAGAGTCTACTCCTTTATTTAATTCCTTTACAACAATGTAGCCTTCCTTTTCTTTTTGTTTTAGAAACTTTGATAACTATAATGTAAGAAATGAGATAATGAAGATATACACATACTGTAGGGGCTTCAGCACATGCAAATTTTATATCTGGTACATTAAGAACCTGATTCTTGTCAGTATTTTAACTTTCAACATTAGCTTTATAAACAAGCAGATAAATACATATAAAATCGCATCAATAGAGATATACAGTGCTCAACAGCGACATGTGCAAATAGGCAGAACAATATTTGCTCATCCTATGTCAATGAGAAACATATTTGTTTATTGTATCTTATAACTGCAAATATTGAATTAAAACAATAATTATACACTAAGAAACCACAACTTCATGTCATTATGATAAAGTCTACCCAGGTCGGACAATGTTGATTGAGAAATACCAGAGAGGAAATATAGACTTCATCAAAAAAGTGATTTGATGATATCAAAAGTATACAGTGTTTTAAAGAGATTGGTCTGAAACTATAGCTTTGACAAGATAAAGATTTTCAAAATGGAAAAAGCAAAGGGCAATAACTCTTCTAAAAATTGTTTACTCAACATGTCATTAAGAAAAGCACAATCTTATACTAAGGTTTAAAAGCCTCTCAAAAAAATGGTGTAAAAGAAAAATAAAGAGGGGATCTAGAAAAAAGACAACTTTTCAAAAAATGTTTAATCAAACTGTGATCCAGGATGATAAAATTATGCATGAGATGAATTAAAATAAGGTACTGTCTCCAGACTTCATTAAGATTATAAAAAACAAGGGGCAGCAACTCTGCCAAATATAGCTAAATCAAACTGTGGTTAAGAATGACACACTGAAATGTCTTGGTGATTAATTTAAGCTTAACAAGTCTGAAAATCATGAGTTGATAATTCAGGACATCAGTATGTGACACAGCAGGAAGAAACAGGCATGGATAACATTAACTATCTCCTTCTCATTAAACGATGGTGAGTTAATTAAACAATAAATAATTAATAATCAAAGAGATATTATTCAGAAATAAATAATTCTGTTTTACCTACCTTTTTATAACTAGACTTTTTTATATCTAAACTTTTCCCTGCTGGGCTGTTAAAATTCAAAATTAAAATACATATAAGTAAATTGAATTGAAACAAGAATTGCATTCAATTACTTAACAATTATTCTGTGAAACATAATTTTTATAAATTGTCAAAAACTCAAGACATTATCAAAAGGAGAGTATGTGTTGATGATAGATGGTGAGGATGGGGAGGTCATACATCTTTCTAAAAATTACCAGTAGGAGAGTATATGTTGACGATAGAAAGCACTAGTGAGGATGGGCAGGTCAGATTTCTTTATAAACATACCAGTAGGAGAGTATGTGTTGACGATAGAAGGCACTAGTGAGGATGGGCAGGTCAGATTTCTTCACCGAGGCTTTTACAGCACATTTAAAGCATTTGTCCAGCATAGTGTCTACCTCATCTATATAAAAACAAAAGTCTTTGATGAAGGACTACAACATCTTTCCAGGTAGAAACTACATTTCTTTCATATGACAACACCATACACTGGTTCATCAAAAACCTGTAATTTGGAACGTAATTATGATTTAATCTGTAATAATGTAATTCAGACAGAAAAGCTGTAATTTAAAATGAAAAAGTTGTAACTAGGAATTATTGCCATTTTTAATTACAGGTTTCAGCCCAAATTGCATGATAACAGATTAAATTACAATTTTTGGCCCAAATATCACTGGTGACATATAGAGAATGGTAAAGTCCTGATGCAGTAACATTCAAAATTCAAATTGCAAAATCACAAACTTACAAAAATATACAGGATTATTTCAAATAATAACTGCATTATACACATATGAATATTAAGATTTTTTCCATATATAATCACGTAACTTGTACATAGAGATAACGTGCCGGTCTTATATATATGTAAAGAAGATGCCTTCACTGCTAAATACTGTGCACTAGAGTAAGTGTACCCAGTATGTTACAACACAGCTGTGAAGTACTAAAACATACTGTATATATGGTACAAGTTTGGTCGTATGTTTTCATCATCATTGTGTGTAGCTTCTGTGGTTATAGCCTTGACCTTAAATCACGACCTTGACATTCAACAGGAGGAATCCACAGATTAGTTGTAACATCTGAATCAGGGACATGTAGAGTCAACAGATGGACAGACCAGAGATGTATCTATTATCCATGTATCAGACCTCCCTCGACAGACTGATACAGATGGGATACTCACAAAAGTCTTTCCAAAAGCAGATCGACATACGATGTTGAGCGATGAATATTATTAAATCTACGATTCAGAATAATTAACTGATTTTAAAACTAACTGTAGACATTGTATAACCATATTACTATTGGGAAAACAACTTACCAACAGACATGGAAACATCTGGAACACCAGCTGTAACTTCAGTACTGTCACCATGGTTACCACTTGGTGCAGATTCAGCACCGTTACCACAGTAGTCAGAGCGTACAGATTCAGATCTGTTCCCCTGGTTGTCAGGTAATGTAGACTTATCAACATTGTCCTCTATACACACAGATCTCATGTGTTCCTCAGTCTCTCCAACTTCATCTCTAGTCTCAGTAGCAGGGTAAGTCTGGGAGGTCTCATCTGATGACCCATCACCAGGGGTACTATCCGTCCCTGCCCCCGGGGCAGAATCCTTCCCTGCCACATCCCCATCCCCCGGGGAACAATCCTTCCCTGCTCCTCCTTCAGCATCGATGTTAATATCCTTCACAGCATCTACATCGGGAATGAGTGGTGGCTGTGACTTGTCTCCAAAAGCCCTATTTAATGTACACAATGTATATTCATAAATTGGGTTTATTTATTATCAAAGTTATAAGATAGCTAACTTTATTTTCAACTTCAATTTAATGAAATGTTTCCAATACAGTGTATAAACAAATCCAAACTTTCAATATCTAGACTTACAATTGTCTGAAGACAAAGAACCTGTGCTCATACTTTATCATCATTGTACACGTTTCAGAGTTAAATGACTTATTTAAAATATTTTATCAACACTTACCAGAGCTCATCTCCAAGTATGTGTACAAACTGCACTCCCTTTCCTCGCATTCCTGAGTCAAACATATCTGACCCTGACAGAGCCATCTTTCCCACAGCCACTGGTGCACTAAAGAAATCAGACAGACACTTATATCAAGCCTGTTACTAACAGATATTCCTTGCTACCTCAATTGAACATTTTTCTTTTAATAGAATTATATAACAATGTTTGGTTAAAATTTCTTTGTCTTTACTGAAGGAGTAGAATTTTAAGTATTTAATCTTTATTCCTTGTAATTCCTTGTAATTGTATCCTGTCTTTGCAATGACAAGGTGGCTGCACCCTCAACTGATATGAAAATGATTTCTTCAAAGGGATATTCAGTACAAGTTTGGATTTCATAAAAATCTTTTAAAGAAAATGTTCAAAATTATCATCTGAAGTTCTTATGGAAATTGTACACCTCAATTTACCATTTAAATAAACAAATGGTATTCAATTTTAAATTCTTAATATATTTGACTAGAACCATATACAACTGTTTGCACAACCCTGATTGCGCCATAACAGTTTTAACTTGTGATTAGCTGAACAGAACAATATATTTTTGCAGATCATAAAATCAACAGAAAATATGCCTAATTAATTGCAGTAAAATTACAACCCAGTAGAAATTTTTGAGAACAGCATACACACTTGTGTGTTTACCACAAACTCAAATCCATTGAGAGAGAAAAACATTGACCAAGAATCCATTCTACAAGGTATAAGCTGGGTTACTTTTGGGACAATCATAATTGAACTAAATGTGGATAGGTGATTAATGACGACACTAACACATATTTGTCTGACATTGGTCATACAGTATATCAGTTTCTTTGAATTCTAATATGACCTACAGGTTGCCATTCAGCTTTACTGCACATGTGTCCCCCTTCCTGATTTGTTTGAATGTTGATGGAGTTATCTCCCCTTGAACTATAACTCCAGGCAGCATTAGATCTGAAATACAACAGATCGCAATGTAAAAGCATACTTTTATGTTACCAGACATTTCTCATAATTTTGTTTAATATGAGTATGATTCAAATAATCAACAAATATTTATTTTTGAATAATTATAATTGGTAAGAGAAACAGTTAATACAATATTAATCAGTATTTAACAACTTTACAAAGTTATTTCAAGATTTTATGAACCATCTAATGTGCATCAATAGTTTACAGAATTCAACAATTGGAAAATATTGAATAGCTTGTGAAATAAACACTAACTGATCAAGACAAGTTAATTGGTTAATCAAGTCTCAGATTCAACAGAAATTCTGACCCAATGATCATCATCATCATCATCATCATGTTATCAAGGCAGCTGCTCCTCACAGCAAATCAAACAATTACACAATTACTCAAGTGTTCATCCCAGAAGTTTAAAATCTGATCAAATGATTACTTGGTTCTTTTTCCTCTCAGAAAATGTGGTTATAAGATCACATACTTACCAGCCCCTCCTAGAAATTTTTTGTGTAGCTGCGGCCAAGTTGTTAGTGTAAACACCATCTGAGGAAATCTCCAGAGTGTGTAAACTGTTGGGTAAAGTTGTCTATCGAGTTCTAAAACCACAGGGTTCTTTGCCACACTGTAGATTATACCAGTATCACCAGAATATGTGTAAATCTTTGTTACTGTCATTTCTTCCTTGGCAGGAACAATTTGTGTCAAGTCATCTGCTGTCAAAGTGGGAAAACTTGACCCTATACTGGCACGTAGCTTTTTCCTGTATTAATAAAGCGTATAAGACGATAGTATATTTATTGCTTTCTGAAAAATAGTAATCTTCACAAGCTGGGCTGACATTTGAGCTCAGAACAACCAATGAAAATTATATGTGTATTGGTATACCATGTATGTAGAAGAGAGACATTACACATGTGATGTGGATACCATGTATGTACAGGAGACATTACACATGTGATGTGTATACCACATATGTACAGGAGACATTACACATGTGATGTGTGTATACCATATATGTACAAGAAACATTACACATGTGACTGTAAAATCTGGAAATCAAACCACAACTAATCACTGCTAAGGGTTATTCTGTGTATCTATTAAGAATCCATTTCATCAACATCAATACTCCAGGGGTTATGCTCTCTGCATCCCTGGACACGACATGGCAGAATTGAAAGTTCCATGTATGACACCTTTTGGATAAGATGAAAAGGTTGATCCTATGATGTACATTAAACAAATCTTGAGGTTGTTTAACAATATATTGTAATGCGAATATGGGTTGAAGTAATTTCTTTTCACAAACTTTGTCATGCTTCATCCCAGCAACCTACCAGCCAAAATAACAGGATACTTTGCCAGTTGGATAGTGAGAATATTTGTTAAAATGGAAAAGTTGATGCTGGGAGACAGACAGAGTGACGATGGACACCACACTACAGCATAAGCTCACTTGGCCCTTTCAGTTATGTAAGCTTAAAGTATAACAATCTTACTATAATTCAAACCTTATAATACAAGTTGCTTAAAATCTACTCAGAAATATTACCTACACTATGATATTAACCCTGTTGTGTTATGTCATTGAAAATATCTGCTATTTCTTGGCATTTGATTAATCAATCCATGAATTTTGTTTTAATTTAAATAATCTTGATGACAAATGGAAACACAAGACAACCATTCACACTTTAAAAAAGGCTCAAGCTTACTGGATTTACAAAGCTTTAAATATTTTCCGAATTTCCCCTGAATTTCACAGAATTAGCAGACATGTTGGATTACCATACACTAGTCTACGCTGGAATTATTCTAACGTTCCATCGGCTTTTTTAAAAATCGGTCTGGAGTCGATTTTAATTTTACCGAACGTTTCATCCGTCGAAACAGGTTACGCGATATCATTTCACATAAATAAACTTACCTATCGGAGCCTTTGATTGCTGTCTGTGTTTTAACTCTAAATGGTTTTTGAAACATATTGAATATAATTTTAGTTTTCCGGAGTATGCTATCGATGAAACGACAATGCGACACTTATCATTTATACACGTGTCGGAAAGTGCAAGCACAGTTTCTATTAAAAACGACCTGTCAGATTGTGCAACTTCCGGTTAGTGGTTCGCGTTCGATACAAACGTTTTGGTGCCTTCGCGCCATCTCATCGTTTGACGTTGATTGTTGTCACTCATGATCATGATCAGGACGGCAGTTAACTCTCGTGGATATTGTAATTCAACGGGTAAGTGGTTTTGTGGTTTACGCGTGCATTTTCATTTAAGATCTTACTGTCATGACACAAAACGGAACTGATTCCAGACAACTGAATATCGAATTTAAAGATTCATTGATAATGCAGTTTGCGATTGTCAGCTGATTATGTTTTTCATTTTTAGATTCGTTAGCAGTTTTTCCTGCAGACTTCTTGCCTCAGTCAGTAATTTAGCACAAATTTATATGAAATAATTTAATGGAATTTTCATTTTATTATCAATATGGATTCCAAATTTGATGTATTTACGCACATTGCAGTATTTCAAAGAGCAGAAACGTTAACGTCTTGGGACTAAAAAAGAGAAAAGGGTCACATTTCATCAGTGAACACCTGATTAATTAGTTGCGATGTAAGGCATGGATTGCAGGAACTACTTTCTAAATACGTCTGACAGATAATTTGACTTGTCTGCTATGAAATCTCAAGTAAGTGACAAGAAATTTTGTCTTGTGTCAGGTACTAATGTTTCAAGAAAGCTGAACCTAGGCCACATCACCAGTTCTTTTCAGTAAAGCTATTTCTTCTCAGTGGCCATGAGTGGATAAACCATAAGCATGTGACATCAAACCCTCCATGGTATATGGTCTAATAATTATGCTGACCCTCCTTCCCTCTTAAGCGAAAATAAAACACAAAACAATCGGGCAAATGCAAACAGTTGTAATGAATTAGCAAAATGTTCAATGATAAATGGAAAAAGCAAATGCTATATGTCAATGGTGAAACATCGACGATAAATACAAAGGAAAACACAACACGAAGTATGATAGACCAGAAATAGATCAACAAATTGTGTATGAAATTACGGAGCCAGACTTCAGTAAAATATTTTCGCTGACTGATCAAAATGACACTGCACATATTTCATACACTTCGGACAGTGTGATTGTATTAGTATATTTTCCATATTATGTTTTGTAAGGAGTAATAAGCACATATATAGTGTTTAGTATAATGTCTCATTAAAATTATATAGTTGTGATTGTGTTCGTAAAATTCTCATGTCTTTATCAAACACGATTTTAAAAAGAAATTTGGTATTATAACTTTATGGTTGATTCATGTGTTATTTATTCTTTTCATTAATTTTTTTTTTCTCGCTTGATGTTTGAATATTTCATTTCCCAGTAACATTTTATTTGCTATGCATACAGACACATACAGTATACTTAACATATATATAAAGAACTCTTGTGTATCAAAGCATTTTTATTCACATTTGTAAACATTGTCTCATGTCCATGTTCACAGTCTCAGCTCAAGATTATGCAGCCTTTTGGTGTGTGTGTGAGTGCGTGTGCATGCGTGCGTGCGTGAGAAGTGATAACAGCATCTTCGTTCTATCAGATGTTGGTGTCTTCGTAATTTATTTTAATATGCAATTTACAAAACAGAGCAGAAATATATTGGAAGAAAAAGCATTCTACTTCTTAAAATGCTTAATGTTTTCTACTGAGTACAATAGAAAATGTTGTGTTGATGGAATAAATACAAAAGTACTTTTCATTGCTTACAGTTGTTTGCTTTTTGAGCATCAAAAAACACATTTCTGCATTGAAACTAACAAAATTTGAATTAAACAAATATTCTACAATGCAGACCTACACTAGCTAGTAATCCCTTCCCATCAAACTTTGGTCTGTGGTCTGATAGTTGTAATAACCCCAGGTCTGTTGAGTACCCTGACAGGAATCACACTTTGGTCTCTGGTCTCACTCCAGGTCTGTTGAGCAACCTGACAGGAATCACACTTTGGTCTGTGGTCTGATAGTTGTAATAACCCCAGGTCTGTTGAGTACCCTGACAGGAATCAAACTTTGGTCTCTGGTCTGACTCCAGGTCTGTTGAGCAACCTGACAGGAATCACACTTTGGTCTCTGGTCTGTTAGTTGTAATAACCCCAGGTCTGTTGAGTACCCTGACAGGAATCAAACTTTGGTCTCTGGTCTGACTCCAGGTCTGTTGAGTACCCTGACAGGAATCAAACTTTGGTCTCTGGTCTGATAGTTGTAATAACCCCAGGTCTGTTGAGTACCTTTACAGGAATCAAACTTTGGTCTCTGGTCTGACTCCAGGTCTGTTGAGCACCCTGACAGGAATCAAACTTTGGTCTCTGGTCTGTTAGTTGTAATAATCCCGGGTCTGTTGAGTACCCTGACAGGAATCAAACTTTGGTCTCTGGTCTGACTCCAGGTCTGTTGAGCAACCTGACAGGAATCACACGTTGGTCTGTGGTCTGATAGTTGTAATAACCCCGTGGAGTACCCTGACAGGAATCACACTTTGGTCTCTGGTCTCACTCCAGGTCTGTTGAGCAACCTGACAGGAATCACACTTTGGTCTGTGGTCTGATAGTTGAAATAACCCGGTGGAGTACCCTGACAGGAATCACACTTTGGTCTCTGGTCTCACTCCAGGTCTGTTGAGCAACCTGACAGGAATCACACGTTGGTCTGTGGTCTGATAGTTGTAATAACCCCGTGGAGTACCCTGACAGGAATCACACTTTGGTCTCTGGTCTGACTCCAGGTATGTTGAGCAACCTGACAGGAATCACACTTTGGTCTGTGGTCTGATAGTTGTAATAACTTCAGGTCTGTGGAGTACCCTGACAGGAATCAAACTTTGGTCTCTGGTCTGACTCCAGGTCTGTTGAGCAACCTGACAGGAATCAAACTTTGGTCTCTGGTCTGACTCCAGGTCTGTTGAGCAACCTGACAGGAATCACACTTTGGTCTGTGGTCTGATAGTTGTAATAACCCCAGGTCTGTTGAGTACCCTGACAGGAATCACACTTTGGTCTCTGGTCTGACTCCAGGTCTGTTGAGTACCCTGACAGGAATCAAACTTTGGTCTGTGGTCTGATAGTTGTAATAACCCCAGGTCTGTTGAGTACCCTGACAGGAGTCACACTTTGGTCTGTCTACCCGAATCATGAAATAAAATTTGGATGATCGCACTAAGCATATGTTACAACAAGTGAATGACAGAGATTGACAAGACTTTACACATGTATACTTAGGCCTTTTGTTGTTAGTGGACTTTCTTTTTACCATCTCTAACTTCCTATCTTAATTAAGGTACATCAGGGGATACATTTTTTTTCAGAATTATATTCTCAAATTGATAAAGATCCTTATATAGAGTGATTTCTCATCTTGATGAAATTATTAATATTGTTTAGATACACTGTAGTTGCAGGTATCATAAATAAATGACAAGCATGCAATCAGGGTCTTTCATGCTGTTGTTTATAGGAATCTCACCATTAAACAACTGGTCATCAGGTATGTGTACTGTCTGAGGGAGAGACTGATGTGCTGGATGCTCTACCAGAAATAGGGCTTTTCCTAAGAGGGTTTGTGTGCTTGGGCTGTACTCACTTGCAACTGGTAGAGCAAGATGAAGATCCTAGATTGTGATCCATATCTACTCCAGGGAACCGGTGTTTCTTGGGAAGCAGATCAATGGGAAACAGATAATCCTGTACTGTAGTGTTCTTCCCCCACCCCCTCCCACCACCCGACCCCCTCCCCCACCCCCTCCCACCACCCGACCCCCTCCCCCACCCCCTCCCACACCCCCTTCCACCACTCCACCCCCTACCCCACCCCCTACCACCACCCCACCCCCTCCCACCACCCGACCCCCTCCCCCTCCCCCACCCCATCCCACACCCCCTTCCACCACTCCACCCCCTACCCCACCCCCTACCACCACTCAACCCCCTCCCACCACCCCACCCCTCAAATTGGTGAAATTTAGGTCTTGTACTCTTTTCTTTTTTGTATAGATATATTGTTAAGGATATACTTTACCCCAAATGCCAAAAGACAAGAGAGGAAAGACAAACGGAACTCCAGATCTGATAGCTATAGTCAAAGAAAAAAATCAGAATTTATTACATGTATGGTTATACAAAATAACCCTATACCTAACCTCATGCCTTGATATAAATTAAAACTTGTATCTGGACAATCTATACACATGTTACATGACCTTTAGGGCAGTCTTGTGGACATAGACCTATACATTTATAACGGATATAGAATGAGGTGTGAGGTATATAGTTTATCTGGTCAGTTACCTTCATGCACATCAATGATAGATGAAACATGGCAGGTCATTTACATATTTGATAATCTTAATACTCAGCAGAGAAAAATTAGTTGCACACAGTGATAATTTTTATCTCTCGACTATTCATGATCTGGGGTAATAGGTCCAGGGTACAAGCTGTCATAATTTTGTTGCTGTTCATATATTTAGCACTGATATGGGATATAAATGTATAGTAGTGATATGTCTTAGTAATGATAAATCAGGTTCTGATATGGTATGGTCAATATTTTTTTTTTTTTGTCCGGAATTATAGTTATTTAACTTAAAGAATTCTATTTCAAAATTTTCACAAAAATTTAAAGAAAAATCTGTAAGCAAAACTTCAATTTTATAGAAGATTTTTTTTACTGTTGATTCTGCAGGAAGATCTTTAATTTTATTGCATGAGCCATAAGTATGCCTCCTAACAAAGCCAACAGGTCCAAACTCAGATGTTGTCAGGGATATTTTTCTCACTCCAACATGTCCTTATTTACAGTCCTAAAAACTGTATCTTTACCTAACTCTCACTTACAATGGAAGTGCTATTTTTATAATGAAGAACATTGAAAAATCTTTCCAATTTTTAAGAAAACCTATCTATATTTTCCTAATCTTTGCAGACACTGCAGACTGCTGTAAGTGACAATCTAGACGTTGTACATGATCATCTGAAGATTCACTTATGTCTCGTTATGATGAAATGTCCATATATATCAAAGTCTATCAGATGCTGATAAATGCTTTCAAGGTACACAGGGCGGACGTAGCTACTAAGATCAGGTATTTAAACAATAAGTGGTTTGTGAGGTAGTCTAGAATTTTTAATTGGCAATTTTATACCTTAGATCACAGGTACCAAGGATACATAAAAGTACATATCTCATTTCTGTGCTAATGGTCTGAAGAATATGCCATAATACACATACAAATAAGTCTTGGTTATAATCATATTTATGTGAAGTCTTCAGGCAGTGTATTGACTATTTAGGTACAAATTAAACATTACAAGTGTTTACAATATCCAGTATAATGTATATTTAACCATGATAATAGTGAGGGTATTGTGTTGGACCTTTGTGTTGATTTTAGTATCCTTGGTAACGCAGAGACAGCATGTTGGGGTTTATAGCCCCGATATGTAATTTGAAGATGTTTGTGGTGTAAAATATTGTCAGACTGGGCCGACCACACCGTCCCACACGGCATAGTGAAATGATGATCTGTCATAATCCCTGAAAAAACTATGAATCAGGACTTGAGCTATGCAACATATGTACTGAAATAAAAATGAGTGGTTTACACATGTATTTACTTTACACAACATATGCTGTCAGGTGCTTGTTTTCTGTGGTGAAGTCCAATCTATTATCTGAGTGTGGAGACTATATCTGATGTCTGTTGAAACTTGATAGGTCATTTTTAAAGGGTCACTACATATGTATATATATCTATTTCCTTGTGTTAAATTGTATTCACTATCACATGCAGTACTGATGGTTCACAATCAATGCACAGTGGTAGATAGTAACTGCTCAAGTCAGCACAGGTTAGTATGTAATATCATTGTCAAAAGTTTGTATTGTTTGAATTGATAAGCCTATTTTGATCTTCTTTTGTATACAAATTATGTTAAGAAATTAAATTCTCACTGTGAAAGACACTTTTTATCACGAAGAAAAATTGCAATTTGACAGAAGGAGGATAGAATTAAAATAAGGCAGCCATATTTTCTTGCCATTTTCAATTCAGGTTACACAGTTCAGGTTATTCACTGTCTGTATGATATCTCAATGTAATTTTGACGAAGGCAGTCAGTCAGTCAAAAATGCTCTAGGGTATAATTCATTAGTGACTTGTACAAAAATACTTGCTGATGTGTAATAGTCTTATGAGCTGATCAGTATTTTTATGTAATATACTTTCGTTTCTACTGGCATATTGATCAGCTAATAGTCAAAAACTTTTAAACTTCACTTTGATGACAATAATCTGTAATCCACATTTTCAAAGTATTCATATATCTCAACTAGTTACTTTGTATGACTAAGGTTTTGGTTTTATTAGAATAAGATAAGGCTGTCTGGATGATTTTTTCAGCATTTTTTTTATCATTTTTAGCTCACCTGGCCCAGAGGGCCAGGTGAGCTTATGCCAAAGCATGGCATTCGGCTTCCGTCTGTACGTACGTCCGGTGTCCATCTGTACATACGTCAGGCGTCCTTCAACTTTTTATTTAAACAACTTCTGAAATACCGAAAGGTGTAGAATTATCACATTTCGCTGGAAGGTTCCTTTGATGAAGCCTAACAAAGTTTGCAAAAAGAAATTACCTTGATCCATATTCAAGGTCACAGAGGTCAAATGTGTTAAAACCTTTAAACAACTTCTTCCAAAATACCAGAAGGCCTAGAATCATTATATTTGGCTGGAAGGTTCCTTTTATCAAGCCCAACAAAGTTTGCAAAGAGAAATGACCTTGACCAATATTCAAGGTCACAGATTTCAAATGTGTTGAAATCTTTAAAAACTTCTTCCAAAATACTGGAAGGCCTAGAATCATTATATATGGTTGGATAGTTCCTTTGATGAAGCCCAACAAAGTTTGTGAAAAAAATAACCTTGACCCATATTCAAGGTTGAAAACATAGACCTATACATTTATAACAGATATAGAATGAGGTGAGAGATATTTAGTTTATCTGGTCAGTTACCTTCATGCACATCAATGATAGGTGAAACACGGTAGGTCATTTACGTATTTGATAACCTTAATAATCAGCAGAGAAAAATTAGTTGCACACAGTGATAATTTTTATCTCTCGACTATTCATGATCTGGGGTAATAGGTCAAGGGTACACGCTGTCATAATTTTGTTGCTGTTCATATATCTAGAACTGATATGGGATATAATTGTATAGTAGTGATATGTCTTAGTAATGATAAATCAGGTTCTGATATGGTATGGTCAATATTTTTTTTTGTTTTTTTTTTTTTTGAATTATAGTTATCTAACTTAAAGAATTCTATTTCAAAATTTTCACAAGAATTTAAAGAAAAATCTGTAAGCAAAACTTCAATTTTATAGAAGATTTTTTTTTACTGTTGATTCTGCAGGAAGATCTTTAATTTTATTGCATGAGCCGTAAGTACGCCTCCTAACGAAGCCTATAGGTCCAAACTCAACAATAATAACCTTGACCCATATTCAAGGTTGCAGAGGTCAAATTCGTTAAAAACTTTAAGCGACTTGTTTCAAAATATCGGAAGGCCAAGAATCATTGTATTAGGCTACTGTTTTCCTCTTATGGTGTCCTACAAAGTTTGCTAAAAGAAATGGCCTTGACCAATCTTCAAGGTCACAGGAGTTAAATGTGTTTAAACAATTTCTTCTGAAATATCGAAAAGCCTAGAATCATTATATTTGGCCAGAATGTTCCTTTTATGAAGTCCAAGAAAGTAAAAGAAATGACCTTGACCCATAGTCAAGGTCACAGGGGTCAAATGTGTTAAACGTGGAACATATGCACAGATATAGTAATGTTGGTCATAAAGATCCTGGTGAGTAATACAGGCCCTCTTGGCCTCTTGTTTTATTTCATAAAATTATAATTTAAGATATTTAATTTCAGTTTCTAGATTAGTTTTCAGAGCCACTTTCTTTAGCTTTTATCTTGCAACCAGTTGACCTTCCCAAATAAGTATATTGATACTGGTGATCCATTGTTGATGTGCATCGTATTTATTGCCTCCGTCAAATGACAAAAGAATAAATTATAATTTACATTGATATGGGTTACAACTTTGTTTTTGTAATACAAAGATTACCCTGTATACTTCCTGTTTCTATTTCCTTGGTTAAAATTATTGCTGATTTCAGTCCACAAAGAAACCAGGAGCAATATGGTATAATGTACTCAGACTCAAAGTTACCAACGAACGTGTGGGAGAAAACACAATTTTCTTAAATTACTTCAAAAATCTGCTCTTTAAAATTAATAATCGTGAGATTTGAAATTTCTAATTACTTCATAAATCTTTTCTTTAAAATTAAAAATCTTGAAATTTGAAATATGAGGTTACTTTTATCAAGTTCGTTCATGATCGATACGATGATGGTTGTGAAAATCATTATTCTTTCCTCTTCAACTACAATGGGGGATGAATTTAATTACTTTCCAGTTAGTATTCTCAGGATTTGATACAAAAATAAATATCACAAGTATTAAAAGATGCAATTATTTATATAAATTATGTATGTAGGTTCTGAAAATTATAATATTTAGTGTTGTTTATGTATCAGCTTTAGGGAGTGTTTAATTTGTGGTCAGGTTAAACTGTATTATAATTATCTGTGATTTCTAGGTCTATATTTTATGAAAATTGATTTTTTAACTTTGAGAAGGTAAAAACACTCTGATCTAATAACCCCTTTATATAAGGGACCACACTAGCTCAGCAGGGTAGAGTATAAGTCTACACAACTACAGGTGAACATCCTGGACATGTGGTTTGATTACCTATGGTGGTTTTGGTTTGTCAGAAGCTAATTATGACAAACACGGCAAACAAAAATACACTCTGATGTAACACAACTGCCACAAAACCTTCAAAGGGAAAACAAAAATACTATTTTATCATTGTTATTTAATTAATGAATACTTTTTAGGCTAAACGTACTCGGTACGTACAGCCGATTGCGACTGCCTTTTTATTTAGCATTGGTATTAAACTAAATGAATACTATTTTAGCATTGGTATCAGATACGTATATATCACATGTGTTATATACGTCTCTGTTGGTATCAAACTGTATGAATACTATTTTAGCATTTTTATCAAATTGAGTTTTTTTTTTTTCAGGTTTTGAAGGTTTAGCAGTTGGTTTCCTATAAAGAATCTGAGGACAACTATGGGTAGAGTGGCCACAGAATTGGTCTTTGACCTGACTTACTATCCAGTGATTTTCCTGACCATTTGCATACATGTATATCTGTACAAAAAAGTCTTTCCATTGTTATCTCCAAAGCTGTCAAAATCGTACTCTACTCTCTCTGTAGCTGATCAAAAGGAATGGGATTCCAGGTCAGTATTCACAGACCAAGAAGAACGAGGGTCAGTTTATAAATAGATCAACATTAACCTTGATCTTAAGTCAAGGTCAGTCATCACTGTCCACGAATTATAACTTATTGAAAGGATAAATTTTCTGAAAAAAAAATTGGATGTAGATTAATCTTACTGATTCTGTCACCTAGCAACAGTATAAAAATAGCTATCATATGATTGTCTCTATTTCAGTGTCACATGGTCTGATTTGATCTTATCTCGACTTTTTTCTAGTTTCTGATAATCAAATAGTTTTCCTTGATACTTGATGCCTGATATTGCCATACAAGGAGGAATTATAAAACCTCATGTAGTTTGGATTATTTCATTTAAATTTTAAAATTTTTAATTTAAATTTTTAGTCCTAGATATTTTTTTATATATGTATAACTTGTTATTTGTATTTTGTCCTAGCAGTAATCATGGTCTGACAATTATAATGCCTTCAATCAGTGTAGGTTTGAATGTCCAGATTCTGGTGGAGATTATATTTGTACAAAGATTTGTGTTTTTTTTGTACTTTCAGAATGGTGTCGTCTCTCCATGCTACAATAGTCAGTGCGATATGTATATACAACCTGTTGTATGATGAGGAGGTCTACAATGATCCAATATGGTATATATATAATATTTACAACACAGTACCAGCAGGAATTAGTTTGTAATAAATATAGAAAAAATTGTAAATTTAAATTTGGTATTCTTTGATAGGTTTTCTTTTTACCTGGTATTTTGTATTTTATATTTGTTAATATTCTTTATTCAATAAACCATCCATAGATTATAATTTGTTATTTATAACTAACTAATGTTAGTGAAAACAGAGTTATTGTATCAGATGTTTGCTGTAGACCCTCATTATTTTAGTCCTAACATAATCACAGAATATCAAAATAAAACCAATTAGTATGTCTGGTGTAGACCCTCATTATTTTAGTCCTAACATAATCACAGAATGTTAAAATAAAACTAATTAGTATGTCTGGTGTAGACCCTCGTTATTTTAGTTCTATTATCATTGCATTGTGGCATCACAGAATGTTAAATGATCCACAGGTCATAAGTTTGTTTACAAGATTATCTTCTGTTTAATGAGCTACAAGTATATTAAATATACACTAATTTTTATACGATGGCGGAGGCGGTCATATATTGGTGTCATTTTCTCCGTCTCTCCGTCAGTACGTACGTCCGTCCGTCCGTCCATTTCTTGTAAACGCAACCCCTCCTAAACTAATCATCAGATTTTCATGAAACTTGCTCAATGTCACTACTACAATGGGTAGATGTGCATGAAGGGGCGATTTTTTGGTTCGTTGATTTTTGTAAGATTTATGCCATTTTCAACTTTGTGTCTGTAGCTTGCTCATAATGGAGCCTTGTGAATGTAACTCCTCCTAAACTAATGATCAGATTTTCACGAAACTTGCTCAACGTCACTGCTACAATGGGTGGATGTGCTGGAAGTAGCGATTTTACGGTTTTTCTTGATCTTTATACTTTGTAGCGGCATATTGTGTCCATGGCACTCTTGTTCATTATGTACCTCAATACTCTAGACTAAATACAGAAATGAATTAACTGTATCGCGGTAAACGAAAATGCAAAATTAAGTGCAGGTATCATCCATCACATTATTTTGTGATAATTATAAATAAAAATTTATTTGAAAATACAACCAAATTAAGTTAACGGTCCACAGCTACTTACCTCATTGGATATAGGCTAAGCATTTCTACTCATTTATCATATTATAGTTGAAAGAATTGATGACTATGTTCTGCCCTTGCTCTGACTTGAACAAGCTACCCCGTATTTTTGTGACCTAGACTTTTCAACATTCTACTTACTGTCATTTCTTTCTCAAAAAATGTGTTATTGTTTAAGTTGTGAAGATCCATGCAACATGAGATATGAACCATCCAGAAGATGATATCTATGTCAGTCACCTCTCACAGATAAGAATTAAATCTGAATGTCTATGACTTTTATTTTTTAAAGGAGTGACCGACCACTTATAAGAATAAATTGTGCAATTTTGACAGGATTCGTTATAGCAGGTAAGTCTTTTTTGTATATATCACTTCATGAACAAAATATCAAATATTTGCATTTAAAAGGCTGATGTTCTGATGTTTGAAAATAAAAAAGAAAGCCACATTTTTTGGAGGATGAGGGCATTTGTTTTCATTCAGTTTAATGTTAGATTTTTTTCATAGCCTATAACACAACACATGTTGTACAGTTACCACAACACATGTTGTACAGTTACCTCAACACATGTTGTACAGTTACCACAACACAGTTACCACAACACATGTTGTATAGTTACCACAACACATGTTGTACAGTTACCACCACAACACATGTTGTACAGTTACCACAACACATGTTGTAAAGTTACCTGTATATCTTGCTGTTATCTATACTTTACATTTGACTTGTTTAAACCTCCACAAGGCATTCCAAAATAAATATGCTGAAGGATACTTACTTCACTTGTGTCAGACAAAAAAACACGTCTCTATCTTGATTTTCTCTTTCTGATAAAAACAATGAAAACTTTCAACATTGTAGTAGCTAGAAGTCATTAAGTAGATAGTTATAAACAAACAGTAAGATTGTTAAAACAGACTTAAAAGGAAACATTGATGAGAGGACTTTAGCATAATGCAATATCTTTGCATAAACAGATAATAGATCTTGTCTGTAAAATCTTCCAAAAGCGTTGATAGTGTGTTCTCGTCGATGTCAATCTTTTCGCGACAAAGTGAGATGTATCAGGTACCGCCTTTCATTGTAAGTTGACAGAATTCAAGCTGAAAAGTAAGCTGTTGTCGAGGAGACAGAATTAACAAATATTTGGTTGGTATAAGCTGTATGCTTCTAAACCACCTTGATTCTTTACCATTTGAATTGAAAAACAGACTTTTTTACTAAATGATATGATTAGCACTACTCCAGTCCTGGGTCTATCTAAAATGTTTATCAAATAAATATTATGTTTGTCTTCACAGCTTTCCGACACATAAATCACTTAAATATTAAATGCCACTTATATCCATCAAAGTATATTGATCAATGGACCTACAGACAGCTGTATCTCATATCTCTGAAAGGTCATCTTTAAAAGACACATCTAGCAATATATATATATAAAGAGAATTGTTAAAAAAACACACAAGAAAAAGTTAAGTTAGCATTTTGCATAACGTTTTCACAGCTTAGCTGCTCCTCAGTGCAATGTGTACTATACATTGCACGGAGTAGCAACGTTATGCAAAATGCTTAACTTTTTCTTGTATATATATATTATCATTTTGTTTAATATATTATATATATATATATACCATTTTGTTAATACATTTTTGAAAAAATACATATTTTCATATTTAAGACAGAATTCAGCATTTATCCCCAACTGTAGAATACTGTCATGATTAATTCTGAACTGGAGGTTTTTCTGTGTTATTTTGACATGATTAAGGCTCTCCAGTCATAAAATGGTATGTACTTTATAATATAACTTTCCCTTACACAGATACAGTGATAATGATGATAGATTCACCACTCAATTTGGAAGCAGTCATGTATTATTTCCACCATGGGTCTGCAGCATATGCATATTATTATGTTTTTGTAAGTGATTTTTATTCATCAATAAAAGTTGGTTTTCTTTTCTGTGGAAAAGACATTTATGTCACCATTTATTTAATCATTTAGATGCCAGTGAAGAAAATTAAAAGAATAGAAAAGATTTTTTACTGTAAGCTCATAATGATCGTTTTCTTTAAAAAATAGAAAGTCACCTGGTTGCAAAGAAATTATCTACTTTTTTACTATAATCTTGTATCATATACTTGATTTACCAAAGATATGTTAATTTTATAAAGTACCCTGTAAATTGGTTAATCCTATCGTCCTTTCTAATAGAAGAATATGATTTATTGACAGTATAATGATCTAGTGAAAATTCTACAAATTATATGGATATCGTTTGTTGGAAATTAAATGTATTTTGGTGTGAGAGCTTTTTAAATATTATTTGTTATTATCATTGTTTCAGAGTTACGGCGTTCTTTCTTACTTTGCCAACTTCAGAATAATGGCGGAATTTTCAACTGTGTTTGTAAATTTCAGGTAATGTAGCAGTTTAGCATCAAACATATTTAGAATAGACATCAAAGTTTATTAATTATTCCTTTATTTTTTTTTATCGTGGGCTATTCAAATCATCTGTCTGTCAGTCCATCTGTCCATCTTGTTCAGATTGTTATTGCTTCAGAAGTACTGAATGGTTTCCCTTGGTCCCTAGTTCTGCCAGCATAATCTTGCGACTTATCAGAAAAAAATGTAATGGCTGACTGATGGCCATCTTCCATCTTGGATATTGACAAAGAAAGTTTGTTATATTACTGTTCCTCGAGAATTACTGGATGGATCTTTCTCAGATTTCATATGTAAGGGTTTTCTAAATTAGTCCCTAGTTATGCGCGATCAGAATATTTGAATAAACAGCCATCTTGGATTTTGACAAGGAAATTTTGTTGTCAGTATTTCTCAAAAAAGTACAGGATGGGTCTTTCAAATTTCATTAACAGAATTCCGTTGATCCCTAATTGCACCCTATTTTGGGGGTGATTAGAAATACAAAATGGCTGACAGGCAACCATCTTGAAGTTGACAGTTAAAACTCATGGTGAAATAATGTGAAATGTGAAAATTATATCTGTAATAATAAAATGATATTTCTTTGTTGCTGTTTCAGATGGTTTTTCGACAAAGTAAACTACGACAAAACTGGTACATTATTTATAGTTAATGGATGTGTGATGACCTTCACCTTTATATCTGCCCGGGTTTTATCCATGCCGAAGTACTGGTTCATGGTCTATACTTACATTGGGTCTGAAGACTTTGCACTTTTAGGAAAAATAGCAAATGTGATGATACTGACATGTTTTGTGTTAGACATTCTAAACATCAAGTGGAGTATACGTATGCTGAAAGGTGCTCACAAGGTAGTGCTGGCAAAATTTGATAAAAATAAGAATGAAGTGAGTGAATCACAGAAAAATGGGAAACAACTATGAGTCAATCTTGTTAATTTTATCTCATTTATGTTGTAGTTTTTGTTAAGTTTTCATTCAGATATATGATGTTGCTTTGAAGACATTTATGTGTCACATGACATCTCGTCTTCAGATGTTTGTTCTGTAGCTATAGAAACATATATATGTCCTCTGACGTCTTGTTTTCAAATGTTTGTTCTGTTGCTATAGAAACATATATATGTCACATGACATCCTGTCTCTAAATGTTTATTCTGTTGCTATAGAAACATATATATGTCACATGACGTCCTGTCTTTAAATGTTTGTTCTGTAGCTATAGAAACATATATATATGTCACCTGACGTCTTGTCTTCAAATGTTTGTTCTGTTGCTATAGAAACATATATATGTCACATGACATCCTGTCTCTAAATGTTTGTTCTGTTGCTATAGAAACATATATATGTCACATGACGTCCTGTCTTTAAATGTTTGTTCTGTAGCTATAGAAACATATATATGTCACCTGATGTCTTGTCTTCAAATATTTGTTCTGTAGCTATAGAAACATATATATGTCACATGATGTCTTGTCCTCTTTAAAGGTGATTTTTTACCTTATCCCTAATTTTGTTGATGATAGTGTCTCATGAGAACTGTTTATAGATCATTCCTTTTTTCAGTTATTTCGACTAGTATACAGTCAGTACTTCTTAATTTTTCAGACATGTTCCTCAAATTGCCTGCTGTAAAAATGTATGAGGGTCTTGTTGTCATTTTTAAAAATTTTTTTTTAAATCTCTCAGACTTCATTTTTTATGATGTATTTTAGTACACTTTCAAAGTTTTGCACTTAATGACTCAAATCCTCACCAATCAACGCTTTATGGAATTGAAATCATAAGAACAATAGTTCCTCAATGTAAATATGGTGTAGTTACATTTCCTTCCACAAATTCTAAAACATATGTAGTAACATACAGCAATGTAACCCTAGCTATTTTTATACCTAACTGTTGATTTTTATCTTGGCACTGTGTTGTTGTGAGAAGCACTGCTGATGATATAGAGAATAAGCATGGTAAAATCCATGTGATGTGCCACAGGTACATTTTGGAGCTGAAAATGGTAAAAAATGCTTCTACTTGCTTACTTAGAATTAAGTCAAAATCTGTCACTGGTAGCAAAAAAATTGACATCCGAATGTTAAGCTAACATGTCAGACCAACAATACAAAGTTCAAAACTTGAAAATATTTTCTTCAATATTTCAACTAAATTTTAAATATTTTCACTATTGAATAAGGTGTTTATAAAGTTTAATTTAGCATCAGGTGTGATTGGAAACTCTGTCACCTGTCCGTGACAAAATGATTTGATTGATATGTCTTTTGTAGCAGTGACCCTTTACAGAAGTAAGTAGATAGAGGGATGTAGTACGCTATTGTATGGAAAGGTTTTTTTTCAGTTTTGATGAATTCACTCAATAAAAAAGGGAATATTCAACATATCAGAACTGCCATTACATAACAGATTTGTGAGAATTTTAAAGAAAGCTTTATATCATGATAAATGATTTCGGTTAAAGGCAGCCTTAGAATAACAGAGGTCATTAATTATTTCTATGACTACGCAAGGACTCAAACCCAGGACCCCTGGATTACAAGCCTGATGCTTAACCTATCAAGCTTAAAAAAATTTCTCTCTAGGCGAGCTTTATATTGCAGCTAGTTTTTACCAAGGTTACATTAGTAATATTCATAAAGTTTTACAGCAAATTCTGTATTAATATGCCTTACATGATGTCAGTGTAGTGCCCCACCTATGTGTGTTAGTCAGTCAAAGCCCCCCAACATTTCTTTAGAACAATCTACCTCACCCTTCACCTTACCACCAATACCTAGCTATACCTCTCCACTGAACTTGTTTTAAGTCACAAGTAATGATCTTAAACCTGCCGAGAGAAAAGCAAACCTTGTATTAATTTTTGAAGAGAGTGCACCTATATAAATGTATCCAGTAATTATATGTGTGGTGATGTAGAGCCTGCTTTGGTTTGAAAGTCTCACTGTGTTGTAGTGATAGCATAAATATTGCAGTTGTTTCTTGTAGAAGTGTTGTCACATGGTAATATATAAATCATTGTTTGACTTTAGTGATACTTTAGGGCTGTGTTTGGTAGATACTATATAGAAGTCCAATTTTCATTCTATACATTTCTAATACTAGATGTTAGTTTGTACCTCAAAATTATCAAATTGAATATATAATTGCAGAAATGGTTTTTTTCTTACCACAAATTATTGTCTTCGTCATAAAACACAATAAAATAGAATCATAGATTATATCTCATTTTCAATTTCCTTTTTAGACAGAAAATTATTTACTTTCGTAGTGAAATATTTAGTTATGTGTGTTCATACCAAGTTTACATCACTTGTGAAGGTGATGAGACCTGCTGTTATCAAATTAGTTCAAGCTGATTTTTTCCTGGAAAAATATCTTTAACAAAAATGTACCATTGTTCTGTATTTTACAGAAATGGATGTGTCTTTTTGGCCTTCATGATATGAGGTTAACTTTCAGGAGTATAGACCTGGATACAGTTAGGAAATATATTTGTTAGATTTTTCACTCATCAGAGATTTTGTAATGAACGCAAATATTTATCATTTCTAATTTTTTGAAAATCATGTGTACCTTTTGTATTTATAATCAGTACAATGACGTCATGGTTGGATTCACACCGTTGATATAAAACTCCAGATTTGTAGTTGTAGCTATTTATGATAACTATTTTAAGATATTGTATTATATATATTTTTTTATTATTAGTTAAAAGTCAGTAACGTGACTACTTACAGAAATTTGTGATTAATTACACAACCTTTAATGTTGTAACTATTTGATTGTTGTAGCTGTTTATTTTCATTGGTAATTATAATGTCTCACACAAGTCGGTATAAAATGTAGAAAACTACGAAGGAAAAACATTCTCGCTTGTTTATACAGTAATGTGATCTCTTTATTTTTTTTATTGAATGGTAATCAATTTTATTTATTTAAGGTACGTGATCGCAGAAGAGTGATAATTTCAAAGATGTAATAAATTTATATTTGTAATCAAAACTTGCTGTTATCAAAGTTCAGTAATTTTTATTTGATAAGCAATTCAGTCTCTGAGAGTAATTCCCCTTTAGGTTGAAGTTTTCTCATGACTATGCAATTACAGTTATTCCTGAAATCAAGATAAGTCTATAATTTAATTCTATTTCCTCTGTTTTAAAACAATCCCTGCATAATGTCAAATATGTATTCTCAACTTATAGATTTGAGAAAGGGTACCTCATCCGTAAAATATGTTTCATTCTCCGACATTTTAGACATGTGTTTATTGACAGTGGTTTATATGACTTCAACAGCACTCTATTGTACTGATTTGTTTGAATGATGCACATTTTGTCCTCAACAGAAATATGTCTAGCAAAGAAGTTGCTTTGTTATAATGCTAACATCTCAATGTCTTTTTTCTTTTTTTTATGACCAGCAAGCAGATTTGAGTATATTTTTGTAAAAATGTACTCTGAATCGGATACATAATATGGATAAGCTAATTTAACTTTCAGTTTATAACTTTTAGGTAAAAATACATACATCTCAGTCTTGGTGACCAAGTATGGGTCAATTTTTATGTTTATAAGGTTAATAATAAAACCTGAGATTCATTTTTTTTTATTCATTAAGGAAGGTTTGTCTTTTTTTAAGTAGATTTCTATTAATGTCTCTTACTTACATTTGTCTACATCTAAGTAATATTTTTTATTTTTTTTACTTTTTGTTAGTTTTTAGGGGTGGGACTGGGGATGGTATATTTGTCAAAAAAAAGCTGTTTAAAGACATGGAGATAGAGTTACAGATAGTGATAATTTCATATCAATAACTTCATTTGAATCATCAAATTATCGTCTTGTTAATTAATTAATTACTGTAACACATCAGAACCAGAAGTAATGGTGTTTTCATGGCATGGACTTATGGTAAGTTCTGAGAGATTTTAATGGTAAGTAACATGAATGCGAGTACATTATATTTGGTTGTATTTCAAGGAACTTTGTTCATTATAACGTACAGTTAATGCGGATTTTAGGATGGTATTTGTGATCTATTTGTATATTGAATAATTACATATCAATTGATTTTAACATACCTGGTGAAATAGAAAAGCATTTTATTGTTACAATATATATTTATTGTCTTAACTTATATACCCAAACTTAACTATCAATTTCATTTATTGAGATAATGCTGATCAAACACCAGGCAAGTGCTTTGATTTTAAATAACCTGAACACAAGGTTTTTCTTTGCAAGTGATTAATGATAGCAAATACAATAATTTGTCAAGTATTTATTGAATACAAACGATTTTGTTAGCGATGTCCGAGGCAGTTGAGTGATTGTCAGCTATTTATTAAATACAAATGATTTTGTTAGCGATGTCTGAGGCAGTTGAGTGATTGTCAGTGATTACCAATGTTGTAATGTAATCTACAGTTATGCTTGCTTTGCTGCCTAAATAGGAATATTTGATACCATGTGTTGATGATATGATCATGTTTTGCTTTGTTCTTGTATATGAATTTTCCTTTCTTAAGTTTGTTGTCATTCTTGTATAATGACAGAAATCCATTTACTAATTTGTCTTTCCCTCAACTTTTAAAAGTCATATTCCAGAAACAGCCAAAATCATGGTCTCCTGAGGGTGACCACTTAAACATTTTAAGTCTTTATTTAATTGTGTAAGGGATTATTTCAATAATAGTAATAGTTCAAATATAGGATGTGAAGGTGTCCACTTCCAAAGCTCATGAGTAAGCCAGCCTTCAGGCAGTGTTATCTGTCATATTTAAGTCACCTGAGACTAAGTCTGCAGATGACCTTTTGCAATCTCCTTTTAGTCCGCATCATGCATTGTGCATCACGTGTGGTAAACTTTTAACATTTTCAACTTTTTCTTAAAAACTCCTGACTGATTTCAAT